TATATTTCGTCGCGCAAAGCGACTTTGCGCGACCAATAAAAAAATTCGTCGCGCAAAGTCTTTCTTCACGATCTTTGCGCGACGGTTTCTATCGTGCTGAAATTTGTGTGACTACAATGTATTTTGCGCGACGAAATTCTCTTCGTCGCACAAAGTGTAAAATGTAGTAGTGTTTGTCAAGAATTCTATTTAAAGGACTACTTTGATTATGTACAACTTTTACAAAAACTGAAAAAGGCGACCGGAAAATCACCACGTTGTCTTTGTGCCTTCTTTATTTCTACTTTGATAATGTACAAGTTTACATCTTATCACTAATTCTTTTACTGACTTAAGTTCCTTTTTTTCTCTCTCTTCTTAACTATACTCTTTCAGAGAGACATGGGAAAGTCTACTCACTGTGTTGCGTCGTCATCCGGCATGAAGAATGGTTCATGGACCCCAGAAGAGCCAAAAGCTCTTATTTTTCGTTCAAAAACATGGTCATGGAAAATGGGAATCCTTGCCCCAGAAAGCTAGCAAAGTTCTATATATTACTGATCATTTCTACTCTTCTTTCATAGGTTTCCAATCAATTACAATTTGACAGCTAATTGCATTACATACTTCTTATATTTTTGTTAACTTATATATTTGGACACACAATCAATATAAATGTTAACGGATAACCTTATATATTTTAAGACAGGGTTTTTTTGAACTTGGTCTGTTTTATAAATTAAAAAAACCATATATAATAATGATAACAGGTCTTCAAAAGATTCTGCAAGAGCTACAGGCTAAGATGGAGAAAAACTACCTACGACCTGATATTAAGAGAGGAAACTTCAGTTTGCAGGAAGACCAATCCATCATTCAACTTCATGCTCTTTTAGGCAACTGGTAAGAACAGTATATGCATTTTAGATAATAGTACTCTCATCCCAAGTATTCTCTCCAGATGTTCTCTTGTATTTTTTCTTTCTGATGACCAAACACAAATACAACAAAAGCTTCAAACTTCATCCTTATGTACTATAAAGAGAGCAATTGGCTGTTTATGGCCGTGCATAACATATATAGACACAAAATTCCAGGGAACTGCACTCCTTGGCGATCATCAAAATGACTAGTCACTAGTGAGGCTCCCTTCAATCGTTTATACAACTCATATATATCAACATAGTTAGTTACCGATGTATGACTTAAAACATGTTAGCACAATCCAAGGTGTTACAATACAATACCTGGTATCGGATGCTAATCTGGGTTTTCAGAGAACAAAAAAGTGATTTTATTTATTCAACAATAGATGGGTACAAGGCTTTATAGAGGACTAGGCTTATTGGCCTTGAACAACTAGAAATTGTTTACTAGGCTTATTGGCCTCTTCTCTCTTTTGTTCTCTGAAAACCCAACAAGTGGTATCAGAGCTGGTTCGATCGACTATGAGGTGCATGTGTGGAGAAACACAAATGCGCATTAAGGAGGAGTGTTAAAAAAAATAATGCTCATTTGTGTTCTACACAATTCTAGAGAAGTCAAGAGAATTCAAAAGATGGAGATGGCAATGCAAGAATATTCTAGAACAAGCTAGCAGAGGCTGAATGCTTATAGTAGTCCAAATTAAAATATCGACTAAGTACCAGGTGTATGATAAAATTTGAACTGTCATTAATTAAGAACAAAAACACTTATATCCAATGTACACCTTAGATGTATGTTTCGTATGTATAATTATTTTCTCTTAGGGTCATTTTGGATATATAAAACAAATAAATAAATAAAACTTTGGCTCCATTGGGATGGAGGTATATTTGAAAGTAATGATTTGGATTTGACAAAAAGGCTAAATCTACTAAAAGAACACTAGAAACATTAGATTCAATGTATTTGAAATAACAAAATGTAATACATTTGGAATGGATTTGAAATGACTGCAAGGAGTTATTTGAAATCCATTTGCTTTCTTAATTTATTTCGTATTCAAATGTTAGAGGCAATACATACATTGGAGGAAACAGAATGGCTTGCCCAAGAAACCAGATGGTCGTGGGTTCGAGTTCCGGAAACAGCCTCCACAAAAACAGGGGTATGGCTGCATGCATCTTGCTCTCCTCAAAGTCAAACCAGACATTACAGGAGCCTCATGCAGTGGGCTGTCTTTATTTTTTTGACATAGACATGCATATATACAGAATGTACATGCAAGAGAGAGAGGAGAGAAAGAAGGGAGAGGAACTTGTGTGTTGACGCTAGGTAATTACCGAGCCGAGCTGCCATATGAAATGCATACACTAGCGTAGAAGCCCGGCGTCTGCTCCTAGGGGACCCCCGGCTGACAAGACCCGCGTTTTACGGAGCCGCCCATACCATCTGTAACCAAACCCCATCCCATCAAGACAAGACCGTCGCCATACCTGCAGACTGGAAACCCACTCTGTCCGCTACACCCCGCCCCTCTCCGTTGCAGGGACAGAGCACCCAGACGATCATGCGTTGTGCGCTCACAGGTCCCATCTAAACCACTCACTGATGGAATTGATGGGACGCGGCTCGGCTCGGCTCCGAGCCGAGGCTCCCACCTTGTAAATGTTTTTAAAAGTAAGCACCCCCTATAAATAGAGGGGGATCCTTGTACTAAAGAGAGGGTCTTCTCCCACGCAAGAAGAGAAATACTGTGTTATCCATATAAAACATCCTTGGATTCAACATTGTGGATATTGCTTCTCTATTTATTTTGATACTTTCAAGGGAGACAAGAACATAACCAAGGGAGATTTCTGGGATTATACGAACTAGAAGAATGAAGATAAAGTGTGCAGTATTTAAATTTAAATCATATGATCTGAACTGTATTGCTAGGACAATGACCCTTTTTGTCTTCCCCCAAAAGTACACGCATGTTGTCAGTGCAAACATTGGTTTCCTATATAGCTGAACACTTATATAGCGCAAAAATAAAATGCATCAACTTTCACCTCTTCTTATTTTAACAAACACATGCATCATTGTATAAAGTAAATATATACACATATGACGGAATTGGAAAAATAGGAAATATCAGCAAATCAAAGCATAAAGGATTTCAAATTCAACTTAACACAATTTTCTAATTTTATGAATAACATAAAAGGTGTTAGAGAACCAAGTTCCTGTTTAAATGGTCAATCTTGGGTATAAGCACCATATGATATAGGCAAGAAAATATTTCAACCAGAAATACTCTTTTCCCGATGGTTAGAAAGTAGCAGAGGTTCGTCTCTTATAGATCTCAAATATTTATGAAACTCTATGGTTTCCCATCAAAAACCAGACAATCCTGATGTAGATCACATTCCCCCCCTATTTTCATTCAAAGGTTAGCAAAGAGCATGCCAATTTACCTAGTTTCTTGTCCTTAGGGACAAAGAGTTCACTAGGAATCACAACTCGCAGACCTTGATTCTCAACTGCTAAACAGGTAAAAATTGATTATTTGATGACACTAAATACTTTTTCACAAAATTAATCCCAATTAATCAAGAGGAAATTTTGTCATGCAGAAACAGGGTTCTCCTTTTAGGTCTGACTACAACAAGCTCACCGACTCCCCTTTCGTCATAAGGCATGGAACCTAATCAATACGAGAAATACAAGAGCATACTAGGCATGCAGGTAGAACATACATTGATTTTGACGAATGAAGTTTCTAATTCCTCATGTTTTACTTTCAAACAAGATGACATAAGGCAGAAGGAAAAGACTTATGTTGCTGGATTCAATCTTATTATTTATTCTTAACGAGTTGTTCATCCAGATTTATGGTACAGCAGAATGTTGAATACAGCTATCCTACTCAATGAAACCAATGAGGTCTGCAAGGTTCACATCTAAGCAATACCCTCTCCGTATGGTGAACTCAGGTTACTTCTGAAATAATGACTAGAAAAGCCTATCTTCTTAAGGAGTTTTAGTTATACTGCGGTGAATCATCTCATCTAAAATCCATTAAAATCACACACAAAAGTAAGCAAAAGACTCTTATAGACTAGGTATAGTGCTATTCTCCCACGCTTATGTCAACTATCTAATTCTAAATCAAGTTCTGAGATACATAAAAGGGACACGACCAAATCCTTTTGGGCCTAAATCATCAAGTATCGGTGTTTCACTGAACACTGATACAGAAACTTCGGAAGAAACAACTAGTGTTGTTGATCCAGCATCAAACCCAAAATACTTTTAGAGTGTGCCCGTCAAATGTCTACTATAAAGGACTTCTAAGGAGGCGATTATAACCCAAGGCAGAGATTAGTTTAAGCTAAAGCTGCTAGCTAGGGCTCTCAGCTGGGTGTCGTTCCCTAGGGCAACCATAAGTGGTCAAGGACAGCCATTTATTAGGATTTAATTGGCAAAAGCAGGGCAAGACAACATGTTTTGAAGTTCGTGTAGCATACTGTTGAAAAAAAAATTAGTGCACTAATTTAATGGGATTTCTCATCATAATTCTATCTGACCAGGCAGCTGTTGGTGTGTAATCCTTCAGCCGAGTTTTTGGAGCTAAAGGAATTGTGTCTGCTCTGTTTTTTTATTTCCTTTAGTTGTTTATTTTTCTTCAGCTTTATTGTGCACCCTTGGATCACAGTCCAAGTGTTTTAATCTCTAGCATAGGATTAAGTGACATGTGTAAGCATCTAATAGGATGCTAGAACTTGAGCTTATTGTAAATATGGTACAGGGAAGAATATCTCTTTTTTCTTCTCTCTGCCTATCGATTTATACCCAAACAGTAAATCTGATATGAATACACAGAAGCATTATTCATTTTCTGCAGAGCAACGTTCTCTCATTTCTTCTGTGCTTTTTCCCTTCTTTGCTCCCAAAATATCCAAAACATGAAATGCTGAAACTAAGAATTCTAACATGGTATCGCGAGCCAGTTCGATTGCTGAGCTGGGAGTGAATCTGTGGTTGAATCGGAAGGGTTTTGTTTGAGCTAGAACTTGAGCTCATCTGAAGATCGCGATTTCTCAAATCCAATGTCTAATATGGCAGGATCGAGTACCTCTGAGCTGCGAACTCCAATTTTCAATGGCGAAAATTATGAGTTCTGGAGTATCAGAATGAAAACTATTCTGAAATCTCATGGTTTATGGGATCTGGTCGAGAATGGGTTAAGTGACCTAGATCTGAAGAAGGAGAAAGAGGAGGCTGTAGACACTGAGAAGTCTATGGTGGTTCAGACTCTGATGAAGGATGCTCGTGCACTTGGATTGATCCAAAGTGCTGTTTCAGATCAGCTATTTCCAAGGATCGTGAATGAGGAAACTTCGAAGGGGGCTTGGGATATTCTGAAGCTGGAATTCAGAGGAGATAAACAGGTACGAAATGTCAAATTGCAAGGGCTGCGTAGGGAATTTGAATATACCCGCATGAAGGATAGTGAATCTTTATCTGTATATCTGGTTAGGTTGTTTGATATAGTAAATCATATGAAGAGTTATGGTGAGGAACTATCTAGAGAGAGAATTGTCCAGAAACTATTGTTTAGTTTACCTAAATCTTATGATTCTATCTGCTCTGTAATTGAACACTCTAAGGACCTTGAAACACTTGAGGTTCAAGAGGTTGTTGCTTCACTGAAGAGCTTTGAGCTCAGATTGGATAGACACACTGAGAATTCTACAGAAAAGGCCTTCACTAGTCTGAATGTTGGTAGGAAAAACCTTGACCCTAGTCTGAATGTTGGTAGGAAAAACCTTGAAAATTCTGCAGATCAAATATCTCAGAAAAATTGGAAATCCAACGATGGAAACAAAATGGCCTGCAAACATTGTGACAGATTTCATTATGGAAAATGTTGGTATGAAGGAAAACCTAAATGCCATGGTTGTGGGAAGCCTGGACATATGATCAGAGATTGCTATGGACACAAGAATGTGCAGAGAGTGAATTATGCAAATCAGGAGGAAGATTGTGGCACTTTGTTTTATGTGTGTAATGCTGCAACTGATGTGAAGGTAAATCACTCTTGGTATATTGACAGTGGTTGTAGTAACCACATGACAGGAGATGAGGGACTTTTGGTCAATATTCAAAGGAATTTGAGCTCTAAGGTGAAGATGGGAACTGGAGAAGTGGTCCCAGTTGCTGGAAAAGGGACTTTGGTGATAAAAACTAAGTTAGGCAAGAAGCACATTCATGAAGTAATGCTTGTACCTGGCCTTGAAGAAAATTTGCTTAGTGTTGGGCAAATGATGGAACATGGCTATCACCTTGTGTTTGGAGGAAATGTGGTGAGTGTTTATGACAATCAGTCACTAGAAAATCTGATTGTGAAGGTGCAGATGACAAATAACAGATGCTTTCCATTGACAATGATGCCTGCGAGTGAGTTGGTCCTAAAAGCAAGTGTCACACATTGCTTGCAGACATGGCATAAGAGGCTGGGGCATTTAAATGAAAGAAGTATAAAATTGCTTGAGAACCAAGGGATGGTTCATGGCTTACCTCACTTGGAGCAGAAGTCAGTCGTATGTGATGGTTGTATGCTTGGAAAACAGCATAGGGATTCTTTCCCTTTGGAATCCACTTGGAGAGCTTCAAACCCTTTGGAATTGGTTCACACAGACATCTGTGGACCAATGAAAACAGAATCATTATCTGGAAACAGGTACTTTCTACTGTTTACAGATGATTTTACTAGAATGTCATGGGTGTACTTCATCAGAAATAAGTCAAGTGCATTGGAATGTTTTAGAAAATTCAAAGCTATGACTGAGCTGCAAAGTGGGTATAAGATAAAAGGCTTGAGAAGTGACAGGGGTGGAGAGTTTCTATCTGGAGAATTCAACAAGTTTTGTGAGGAATCTGGTATTCAAAGGCAGCTAACTATGGCATATTCTCCACAGCAAAATGGAGTGGCCGAGAGGAAGAACAGGACAGTAGTGGAAATGGCCAAGTCCATGTTGCATGAGAAAGGTGTTCCCTATGAGTTTTGGGCAGAAGCTGTAAATACAGCAGTCTATCTGCTGAATAGATGTCCTACCAAGGCTCTTAACAAGATAACACCATTTGAAGCTTATACTGGCAGAAAACCAGGAATTGCACATTTAAAAATATTTGGATCTCCTTGTCATGTGCTTATTCCTTCAGCATTGAGGCATAAGCTTGAAGAAAACAGTCACAAGTGTATTTTTGTAGGCTATGGTCTCTGTGAAAAGGGATATAGGCTGTTTGATCCAAGTACTAGGAAGATAATTCTGTCCAGAGATGTGCAATTTGATGAAAATGGCTTATGGAAGTGGGAAAATACAAATGAAGAAGAAATGGTAGTCCCTTTGCCTACTGAGAATCAAAGCTGAACCAAGTCAAAGCTTGGATACATCACTGCAAATGGATGAAGAAGTCACATTACAAGCTGAACCAAGTCAAAGCTTGGATACACAAACTCAAATAGTTGAAGATACCACTCTGCAAGATGAAGGCATAGGTGAAAGTTCTCATTTCTTTGATCACACACCAAAGAAATGGAGAAGTGTAAGTGAAATCATGGCTAAGTGTAATGTGTGTATTGTGGAACCTGAAAATTATGAAGATGCAGCTCAAGATGAGTCATGGAGAAAGGCAATGGAAGCTGAACTGGAAATGATAGAAAAAAATGACACTTGGAAACTTGTCGAGAGACCATTTGCTAAACCTGTGATTGGTGTTAAGTGGGTCTACAAGACTAAACTGAATCTGGATGGTACTGTGCAGAAAAACAAGGCTCGTTTAGTGGCTAAAGGCTACTCACAAAAGCCCGGTATTGATTACAATGAGACTTTTGCCCCTGTGGCAAGGCTAGACACCATTAGGACTTTGATTGCTCTTGCTGCACATAAGGAATGGAGCTTGTATCAACTAGATGTGAAATCTGCATTTCTTAATGGAGTTTTAAAAGAGGAAGTATATGTGGAGCAACCACAAGGATTTGTAAAGAAGGATGAGGAAACAAAGGTATACAAGTTACACAAAGCTTTGTATGGTTTGAAGCAAGCACCAAGAGCTTGGTATGACGAGATTGATGCCTATTTCAACAAGGCCGGTTTCAAGAAAAGTCCAAGTGAGGCAACTTTATATGTTAAGGCAGAAGGTTCAGATGTTCTTATTGTTTCTCTATATGTTGATGACATAGTGTACACGGGTAGCAGCTCTCAAATGATTGAAGAATTTAGGAGAGATATGATGGAACACTATGAGATGACAGATTTGGGAGTATTACACCATTTTCTTGGAATGGGGGTGATTCAGTCTAAACAAAGGATTTTCTTGCATCAGAAGAAGTATGGACAGAAGCTGGTTGAAAAATTTGGTTTGAAAGATTGCAAAATAGTGGCTACACCACTTGCAATGAATGAGAAGTTAAGTAAGAATGATGGAAGTGAGGCTGCAGATGAAGGAGAATATAGACAGATTGTGGGCAGTTTGCTCTACTTGACTGCAACTAGGCCTGACATAATGTTCGCAGCTAGCCTCTTGGCAAGATTCATGCACAATCCCACCAAGAAACACATGGGAACTGCTAAAAGGGTATTGAGATACATTCAAGGAACAATAGACTTTGGAATTGTATTTGAGAAAGGAAAAGAAACTACTCTTATTGGCTATTGTGATAGTGATTGGGCAGGAAGTGAAGATGACATGAGGAGTACCTCAGGGTATGTTTTTACTATGGGATCGGGAGTGTTTTCGTGGGCTTCAATTAAGCAAAATACTGTTGCTTTGTCTACAGCAGAGGCAGAATATATAAGTGCTGCAGAGGCTACTTCTCAAGCAAAGTGGCTGAGATTTGTACTTGAAGATTTTGGAGAAGAACAGATTGAAGGAACACAGATAATGTGTGATAACACATCAGCAATTGCTATGGCAAAGAACCCTGTTTTCCACCAGAAGTCAAGGCACATTAACAGAAAGTTTCATTTCATTCGAGAAGCAATTCAAGCCAAGGAGATAGAACTTGTCTACTGCAGAACTGAGGAGCAAATTGCAGATATTCTGACTAAAGCTTTGCCTAAGGACAGGTTTGCATACTTAAGGGAATTACTTGGTGTTAAGTCGGCTAAAGGATTAGAAGGGAATGTTGGTGTGTAATCCTTCAGCCGAGTTTTTGGAGCTAAAGGAATTGTGTCTGCTCTGTTTTTTTATTTCCTTTAGTTGTTTATTTTTCTTCAGCTTTATTGTGCACCCTTGGATCACAGTCCAAGTGTTTTAATCTCTAGCATAGGATTAAGTGACATGTGTAAGCATCTAATAGGATGCTAGAACTTGAGCTTATTGTAAATATGGTACAGGGAAGAATATCTCTTTTTTTCTTCTCTCTGCCTATCGATTATACCCAAACAGTAAATCTGATATGAATACACAGAAGCATTATTCATTTTCTGCAGAGCAACGTTCTCTCATTTTCTTCTGTGCTTTTTCCCTTCTTTGCTCCCAAAATATCCAAAACATGAAATGCTGAAACTAAGAATTCTAATAGCAGCTAGCAATTATACATCAGTTGGAATTCCCCTAAGCCTAAAAGTTGTTTAATAACCTTTGTGTGACAGTGTAACAGCCATAATATTGGTTTGTAGGTTTTGAATCCATAGATTTCTATAAATGAGGCTACAAAAGCAATTCCACATCTACATGATTCGATTACCATATCGGTTATATTCATTAATGGCGGACAATTAACAGATTGACTAATCAGTCATAACCTAGTTGAATCAAATCTACCCAAAAAATAACAAAAGGAAAACTGTCGAACCGGGATATGGTTAAAATTTTATTTTGGATACATTCAAAGCAAGCACCTATCAATAGAAATGGAATCACAAGGAGTGTAAATTTTGAAGACAATCTGGGTTTGGGAATCACGAGGGTGCCAAATTGAAGAAAACTTATAGTTCATGGATATGCGGTTTATGGGTGATTGCCCTAAGACTTTGTACCCGACAAGGGAATAGTTCATGGGGGTTTCCCTTGTTACCCCAAAAAAAAATGGATCCGAAGTTCAAGCTCACATCTAGCAATTCTACCATACTTGTAAATGTGAAGGAAATCACCAAGATCTATCTAGAACAAATAATATTCGGCTACTATTTATTTCCCAAGACCTTCCAATTACTGAACTTATAGAATTTCATTTCTTTTATACAGAACTAGCTCCAACTTACTTCTAAGAGGATGAAGTTTTCGACGTATTAACAGAGATTCACACAAACTGCCAACAAAAATTACTTGATCTAAATTATGTAACCTTTAACAAAGTCCAGCTAGGGTTCCATACAGATAAAGCAGTTCCTATATCTTAGAGGACAAATTAAGCATTTTTACCTGGGAATACAACTTTGTTGAAATAATAAAAACAACACTAATAAATAAAAATACTGGACATATTTATATATATTTCTTGGCATATATGTGTTCGAGTAAAGTATTTCTCCAGAATATACTTCACCAAAAGAAGCTTTCCTATATTTTTCACCAACACTTTGTGGACAATCACCAAATTCAGTAAACACTTAACAAGAGACCAAAAATTTACAACAATAATCAGCACATGCCAAGTCAAGAGCCCATCCATAACTTACTGCCCTTATTTCGGCATCCATAACTTACTACCTTGAATTAGAAACTAATTTGCAAACAAATAAAATTTGGTTGAGTAAACAAAAAGAGTGCTAGAGAGAAGAGACCTTCTTCTTCCAAGCAGGAGGAGCTGAGAGCTCTACAAAAACCTCATCCACTTTGCTATCCATGTCTGCAACTGCAACCCACAGAGAATTCACACACACAGCCAAAACACCCCACCAAGCTCTCTCTCTCTCTCTCTCTCTCATGATCGTCGCCACCAAGTATTTTACTAAATGGATCGAGGCCGACCGTGGAACGATTTGTCTAGAGAAACATTATCTGCCAGTTTGGATGCCCTCAATTGTTGGTTATTGACAATAGCTCACAGTTCATTGGCAGGCCGATCACCGCCTTCTTTGCAAAATATGGCATCAATTTAACATCCCGACCCAAAATAAATATTAAGTTTTAAAAAATTCAGTAAAGGAAATTTTTTTTTACCCTTAAGGGTAAGGGTAAATTGGTCACTTTTATTTTGGAAAGGATTTTGGGGAATTGAGTTGTGCTGTTGTGTAGAGCTCGTCGATACGAGTTTGTGGACAGGCGGCACGCTCAATTCCGAGTTATATCGGCTATTTAAGGGTCTAAAAACAAAAAGGGCAATTTGGTCTTTTAGAAAAGAAAAAAAAAGTATGTTTTAAAAAACCAGAAACCAGGTTTTTACCCCCCAAAAACCCTCACGCCTTCTCTCTCTCCCCCGAATTTCTCTCTTTTCTCTCTCTCCTCCCAAGGGACGCCATGATTTCAGTCGGTGATTTCGTCACCATCCAGCGACCAAATCACACGAGACCACCACTAAAATTCTCCTCTCTCTCTCTCCTCTACCCAGTCCACCCTTTCTCCTAGCTCGAAAACCCGATTTGATCGACTGGTTTTAAGGCAATTTTCATTAGCCGTTTCCAGCGATTCCGGCAACGATTTTCGTCGACCAAGGTACGAATCTTCATGCTCTCCTTATGTTATAGTTGATGGTATGGTTGGTTAGGATCAATCTGGAGTCTTTAGAGTTCAATCTAAAACCTACGTTTTGAGCCGACTGTTGTGGTGTTTTCCGGCTAGCTCCGGCCACTTTTTGGCTAAGGTCCAAGACCGAAACTGACTTCCCCAGTTGTTGTGGTTCTGTAGGTATGGGTATTGACCAATAGTTTCAGATTTTTTTTATCACTAGAAATTACTCAAACACCCACGCACTGCCGACGAGTGTTGCAGTGAGTGGGACCCATTGTGGCAGCTCTTAAGGTTCCAAAATAATCCATATGTCGTCCCGAGCACAAAGGTATGCTCAGATTAGCGATAGGTTATTGTTTGACTATCAAACGAAATTTCACATATTAGGCGATATCCGGATTCGATAGGTCTGGACAATCCAATAGGTTTCATTTTAAAATATGTGGTTCCTCGTATCCTTAGGATGGTATAAGAATGCGTTGATCGGGAATCAGAGTCCCATATACCTCAATTCCAGGACTTTAGGGTTGGGTAATTAATAGCCGTCGGATTGTACGATCGAGAGTAATCTAATAGCTCGATCGAGACCAAACCCTCTGGACTTGTTGTTTGTTTTGAGTTGGACCTTTAGGAACTATCGATTTGGAAATCAGAGGTCGTTGTCCCCATGGGCCCGAATTGACCAAAAAGGGGGAAGTTGACCAAATCGTTGACCATGAACCTATTGAGACCGTCTTAACAAGAACTATGCATTAAAGTTCGTGTTCGAAAAATAATTTATAACATATCTCGATATTTCTTCAATAGGTGCTAGGGCTCCGACTAGCCAGCAGGCGGGACCCCCACTGGGCCATACCAGCTTAGATTTTCTGTGAGTGGACTTTGTTTTAAATAAGCATTGTTTTAAAGTATAAATTTCATGCATAAAAAGGGATTTTTAAATTTATATTTGTTTTTACTTGGATATGGGACATATTGGAAATTTATGCATGTTTGCATGCGGGAGTTGTAAGGGGTTTTATGGCACCATATGGAAGTAAAAAGGATTTGAAGTATTGATATGTGCATGCAGTATATATATATATATATATATATATATATATTGATGGTAGTTTTGATTTGGGTATATGCGTACCATAGTATGTACCTCCCCCATTACTTTTACTCTGGATGTTTATTTTTGACACGCAGTGTAACATCCCACATCGATCAACGGAGAGAGGGTGATGTGTCTTATATGTACATACCCGCTTCCATGTAGCATGAGGCCTTTTGGAAGCTCATTGGCTTTGGAGTCATGGGAACTTGGAAATTAAGCGAGTTGGGGCTAGAGCAATCCTAGGATGGGTGACCCACTGGGAAGTTGCTCGTGAGTTTCCAGAAACAAAATCGTGATGGCAAAGAGGGGGGCCCAAAGTGAACAATATCGTTCTACAATGGAGCCGATCCTAGGATATGACAATTTGGTATCAAAGCCACTTTGTCGTGTGGTGCGAGTGTGTCGACAAGGACATTAGGCCCTTAAGGGGGTAGATTGTAACATCCCCACATCGACCAACGGAGATGGGGTGATGTGCCTTATATGTACATACCTGCCTTCATCTAGCACAAGGCCTTTTGGGTGTTCACTGGCTTTAGAGTCATGGGACTCCTAAGTTAAGCGAGTTGGGGCTAGAGCAATCCTAGGATGGGTGACCCACTGGGAAGTTGCTCGTGAGTTTCCAGAAACAAAATCGTGATGGCAAAGAGGGGGGCCCAAAGTGAACAATATCGTTCTACAATGGAGCCGATCCTAGGATATGACAATTTGGTATCAAAGCCACTTTGTCGTGTGGTGCGAGTGTGTCGACAAGGACATTAGGCCCTTAAGGGGGTAGATTGTAACATCCCCACATCGACCAACGGAGATGGGGTGATGTGCCTTATATGTACATACCTGCCTTCATCTAGCACAAGGCCTTTTGGGTGTTCACTGGCTTTAGAGTCATGGGACTCCTAAGTTAAGCGAGTTGGGTCTAGAGCAATTCCAAAATGGGTGACCCATTGGGAAGTTGCTCGTGAGTTCCCAGAAACAAAACCATGATGGCAGATAGGGGGCTCAAAGCGAACAATATCGTGCTACGGCGAAGCCGATCCCGAAATGTGACACACAGTAACTTTTCAGAGGCGTGTCGAGAACCGAACACCCCTGACTGGGTGTACCGAAGGCCTTGACGAGTTTTGTCAGTGCGTATGACTTATTTCAGCCGCACGTGTCTGGGGAGCAATAGTCCCCCGATTAGACTGCTCATTCCCTAGCCACATGAGCATTAAGCATTATGTCATGTGGTTTAGTAAAACAATCCCCGCATTGGATTGTTTTCCCCTGGTACATAGCTATGGATGTCAATGCGTTTATCTGTACAAAAAGGGATTTATGGGATTAAACATGTTTTTAAATCAAGTACGTGTTTAAAGGTTTTACATGTATGGATTTCAGTTAAATATTTTCAAAAAGGTAGGGTTAGTATGTTTGTTATATATATATATATATATATATTTTTTAACTTTCTTTTTGTCCTCTAACATTTTTATAGTTTTGTGCCCTCCTGGGCCGTGATTTGAGGAGCTTAACAACCAAGACAAGAAACTCCCTATTCGCCTATCGTTGCCCTCGTATGACTTTCTTTTGTTACTTTCTACTTTTTTCGAACTTGTAAAATAACGAAATTCTTACTATGCTCTGAATACACCTATGTAAGGTTGGATTTGTGGCTAGATGCCATCTTTAAATTGTGTGTGCTGGCACTTGGGTACTTTTTTTGTGTTTTTATTGCATGCATAAATTTTGGGAATGTTCGTTTTACATGGGAGACTTTGTCGAAATTTCGATTGAAGTCTTGATCCTTTATCCTTCTCAAGCAGGAAAAATGTTTATTTTAGTAAATGGGCCCGGCATCCTATGGGGGACAAAAGGGAAGCAGGATTTGACACGAATTTCAAGAGAATTCAGCTCGAGTCTTATCAATCAAGCAGCACCTGTCCACCACGAGATTGTTAGAGTTTCGGTAATGCAAGTTTGTTTTGATTTGAATAAGCTCCTATTTTTCAGGAGCTAGTAGTTCAGTTTAGTTAGGAGTTGATCAGGTCAAGTACTTAGTTGCCACAGTCTTCGGGATGTGGAGACGTGGTTTGTTTTAATTTGTTTTTCAGTTGTAATGGCTATTTAAGCCAAACATGTTCCGTTAATAATTAGAGTATTATTTCACGATCTTTACAGCTTCTTAGAGCTAGGTCTTTGATACTCCAACAACTGGTATCAGAGCCCTTAACAGGGCCTGACTGTGAATACGAGAGTGAAACGAGAGATTGAGAGTTCTCTTGAAATGGCAGAAGGAAGCAGCACCTATGTGCCTAAGTTTGTGGGGCACTATGATCATTGGGCTGAGCTGATGGAGAATCTGCTTCGTTCCAAGGAGTATTGGAATGTTGTAGATCGCGGCGTCATGGTGAATGTCGCAGGGGAAGTACGGTCTTTCTCCTCAGTGGTGGCAGAAGGAAGTCAACCCACTGATGCTCAACGGAAGGAGCATGAAGACAACAAGCTGAAGGACTTGAAGGCAAAGAACCTTCTCTATCAAGCAATCGAACGAGATGTGCTTGAGACCATTCTTGACAGAAGCTCCTCAAAGGCAATCTGGGACTCCATGAAGCAAAAGTTTCAGGGTTCAACGCGGGTTAAAAGGGCACAACTGCAGTCTTTACGTTGTGATTTTGAAGTTCTTCGCATGAAGGAAGGAGAATCGGTGAATGCTTACTTTGCTCGTGTTTTATCCATAGCCAACAAAATGAAGGCTCATGGAGAGAATATGAGTCAAACAATGATCACGGAAAAAATCCTTCGATCAATGATTTCTAAGTTCAACTACGTAGTATGTTCGATTGAGGAGTCCAACAACATGACTACAATGACCATTGACGAACTTCAGAGCAGCCTTCTTGTGCATGAGCAAAGAATGAAGGGTCAAGGTGAGGAAGAGCAAGTCCTCAAGGTCACCCATGAAGACAAAACAGGAAGAGGTAGGGGACGAGGAGTTGGGAGAGGTGGACGTGGTAGAGGAAGACAAACCTTCAACAAAGCCACGGTTGAATGCTCCAAATGTCATAAACTTGGGCATTTTCAAAACGAGTGTCCTAGTTGGGAGAAGGGTGCCAATTATGCCGAGTTGGATGAGGAGGAAGAGCTTCTACTGATGGCTTACATTGAGGACAAGAATGCCAAGAGAGAAGGTGTTTGGTTCCTAGACTCAGGATGTTCTAACCACATGTCAGGAAGCAAGGATTGGTTCATAGAGATGGATGAGCAATTTAGACACTCAGTAAAGTTAGGCAACGGTGCAAGGATGACTGTGATGGGAAAAGGGAGCATTAAGCTTGAGACCGAAGGTTTAACCCAAGTGGTAAGAGATGTGTTTTACATTCCTGAGCTCAAGAATAATTTATTGAGCATTGGTCAACTTCAAGAGCGAGGACTTGCTATTGTCATGAAAGATAAGGCATGTAAAATATATCATCCTACGAGAGGTCTTATTATGCAAACTCTAATGGCAGCTAATAGGATGTTTGCTTTACTAGCCACTATGATTACTCAGCCTTCAAAATGTCTAATAGCAAGCACGGATGACTTATCAGACCTGTGGCATCGTCGTTATGGTCATGTGAACAACAAAAGCCTCAAAGTCTTAGAGAGCAAGCAACTTGTCAAAGGACTTCCCCAACTCAAAGCCATGAACAAAGCATGCACAGTGTGTCATCGTGGAAAACAACATCGAGCAGCCATTCCTAAGAAGAGTCAGTGGAGGGCTTCAAAGAAACTTCAGTTAGTTCATGCCAATTTGTGTGGTCCAATCACTCCAACTTCAAGCAGCCTAAAAAGGTATTTGTTGTGCTTTATCGACGATTTCAGTAGAAAAGCTTGGATTTATTTCTTAGCCGAGAAGAGTGAAACTTTTTCTATGTTCAAAGTATTTAAAAATATGGTTGAAAAAGAGTCTGGGTGTGATATATGTTGTTTGAGGAAAGATAGGGGAGGTGAGTTCACTTCCAAGGAGTTCAACGTGTTTTGTGTTGATCATGGCATTAAGAGACAACTCACTGCTGCCTATACTCCTCAACAGAACGGAGTGGCAGAACGTAAGAATCGAACTATATTAAACATGGTTCGATGCTTGCTTTCAGAGAAGGAGATGCCTAAACTTTTTTGGCCAGAAGCAGTTCGATGGGGATTGCATGTGTTAAATAGGAGTCTAACTGTGGCAATAAAAGGAAAGACTCCTGAAGAGTGTTGGAGTGGAAAAAAACCCAATGTCAAGTACTTCAAAGTTTTCGGCTGCATTGCTAACGTGCATATTCCTGACAAGAATAGAGCAAAGTTAGATGAGAAGAGTCATAAATGCGTGTTTCTTGGCATTAGTGAAGAATCTAAAGCCTATCGGCTTTATGATCCTACGGCTAAAAGGGTGATTGTTAGTAGGGATGTTGTGTTTGAAGAGAATGAGAGCTGGAATTGGAGGAGGAGTGATGAAGATGTGAGGAGTGATGTCTTTACTTGGGTAGATAGTGATGATGGGGAAATCAGTGACTATGATGAGGAAGAAGAAGAAGAAGAAGGTGAAGATGAGGAAGAACAAGTAGAAGGAGCTGATTCGGGTACAGAAGAGTTGGAAGGAGAAAATGATGCTGCTACACCAGAGGAGAGAGTTAGGAGAGCACCTCGATGGATGGAAGACTATGTTAGTGGATCCAATATGTTTTGATGAAGCAGTGAAAAAACAGAAATGGAGGAAAGCGATGGATTTGGAAATGGAAGCTATAGAAAAAAATAAGACATGGGAGCTTGTAAGTCTGCCGAAAGGGATGAAGAAAATTGGTGTCAAATGGGTTTTTAGAACAAAGTTGAATGAAAAGGGAGAAGTAGATAAATGCAAAGCACGTTTGGTAGTCAAAGGTTATGCTCAGAGGTATGGGATCGATTACAGCGAGGTTTTTGCACCTGTGGCTCGTTGGGACACCATAAGATTGATCTTAGCTCTAGCTGCGCAGAAAGGGTGGATTGTTTTCCAACTAGATGTCAAGAGTGCGTTTCTTCATGGGGAATTGAAAGAGGCAGTATACGTGGAGCAGCCAGAAGGCTATGTTCGTAAAGGAGAAGAGCATAAAGTCTTGAAGCTTAAGAAAGCTCTCTACGGCTTGAAACAGGCTCCAAGAGCCTGGTACAGTAGAATCGAAGGATTCTTCATGAAGGAGGGTTTTGAGAAATGCAGTCATGAGCACACATTGTTCCTCAAACATGAAGTTGGAGGTAAATTCTTAATTATTAGCCTCTATGTGGATGATTTAATTTATACAGGGAATGATGTGGAGCTATGTGAGAAGTTTAAGAAATCAATGAAGCTAGAGTTTGACATGAGTGATTTGGGGAAGATGAAGTACTTTCTAGGAGTTGAGGTTCAGCAGAGTTGTGAAGGGATACATTTATGCCAAAGGAAGTATGCTGGGGAGGTGTTGGAAAGGTTTGGAATGGAAGGCTGCAATCCCGTGAAAAACCCTATCGTGCCAGGCACGAAATTGGTGAAAGATGGTGGAGAAGTCAGTGTGAATTCAACCTTGTTCAAGCAGCTGATTGGCAGCTTGATGTACCTATCAGTCACTAGACCAGACATTGCATTTGTTGTTTGCATGTTAAGCAAGTTCATGGCAGATCCAAAAGTATCTCATATGGCAGCAGCAAAGCGGGTTCTCAGGTATGTGAAAGGGTCTGTGAACTTAGGAGTGTTTTATGGAAGGGGTGCTGAGAATTTGGGAATAATTTATGAGAAAAATTCTGAAGTTGTTCTTAAGGCCTATACCGACAGTGACTATGCTGGTGATACAGATGATAGAAGAAGCACTTCTGGATATGTGTTTCTTCTAAGTGGTGGTGCAGTTGCATGGAGCTCAAGAAAGCAACCAGTTGTGACCCTTTCTACCACCGAAGCAGAATATGTAGCTGCTGTGGCATGTGCTTGCCACAGTATCTGGATGAAAAGAGTACTCAACAGTCTCGGTTTCTCTTCATGTAAGTGTGTTAAGATTTTTTGTGATAATAGTTCAACTATCAAGTTATCAAAAATCCAGTTCTCCATGGAAGAACCAAACACATAGATGTGAGGTTCCACTTCTTACGTGATCTGGTCAAGGAAGGTGTTGTGGAGTTAGTTCATTGTGGTACTAGTGAGCAGGTAGCAGACATCATGACAAAGCCTTTGAAGTTAGAGTCGTTTGTGAAACTGCGTGATCTACTGGGAGTTCAAAGCATGAAGCTTATAAACTGACTTGCCTTCAGCTAGTGCAGTTTAGGGGAGGATATGTTAGAGTTTCGGTAATGCAAGTTTGTTTTTATTTGAATAAGCTCCTATTTTTCAGGAGCTAGTAGTTCAGTTTAGTTAGGAGTTGATCAAGTCAAGTACTTAGTTGCCACAGTCTTCGGGATGTGGAGACGTGGTTTGTTTTAATTTGTTTTTCAGTTGTAATGGCTATTTAAGCCAAACATGTTCCGTTAATAATTAGAGTATTATTTCACGATCTTTACAGCTTCTTAGAGCTAGGTCTTTGATACTCCAACAGAGATATCCATAAAATTATATTGAACTTCCTAAAGAAGAGATTAGAGGGCACTGAAGGGAAATGGGTAGATGAGCTCCCTAGAGTATTATAGGCTTATCGAACCACCAAGGGAAGATCAATTGGCGAAACCTCACTTTTCCTCGTCTATGAGATGACAGCAATCATCCCTCCTCACATCATTGTCCCCCTCCATAAACATTGAGGTTGGCAGTGTTGATCAGAACTCCAAACAAATGAAGCTCAAACTCGACCTACTCGAAGGAAAACGCGAGAGAGCCATTGTCCGAGTTGCCTCCTACCAGCATCAGTTGAAGCCTTACTAAGACAAAAGGACCAAAGTCAAACAATTTCAAATGAGCGACCTTGTCTTCAAAAAGACTATCATCATTGCACAAAGGCAAGGATCAAAGAAAATGAAACCCAATTAGGAAGGCCCATACAAGATTAGCCAGTTCAGAGGCAGAGGAAGCTATACACGTGACACCGTGGAAGGGAAAGAGATATCATAGCAACGGAATACCTGCCACCTCCAAAGATATTATCCATGACGCTTCCTCTTACCTACTCAGTTCCCAATAGATGACTGAGCCCTGCACATTTCTAAAGAAGAGAAGCAACTGTTGGAAATTGTGGGTTCTTTATTCAGTTATTTCCATTTCGAATAAAGCGATGTAAACTTATGAACATCAATGAAAGTTCAATTTCTCATTCCAGAATATGTCAAAAACAAAAAAGCAGTTGCCCATCAACAGAGTCCAAAGGGAAACTCAGGGTGACAACCAAAAGCATCATTCGGGAGACGTAAGGTGCACCGGGAATTTCCTATGGGAGATTCAAGTTCCTATCCGTTTCCTAAAGGAGACAAGATGGCCACTAAAAAGCATCCTTCGAGACACGTAACCCACAAGAATGGTCTTTCAAGAGAAGAATGGTGTTCTGGGGATTTTCTAAAGGAGATCTAGTTTCATATTCATTTCCTAAGGGAGGCAAGATAGTCATATAGTTGCCCATAAGTAGTGTCCTTCGGGAGACGCAGGGCGACAACTAAAAGCGTCATTCGGGAGACACAAGGTGCGCCGGGAATTTCCTAAAGGAGATCTAGGTTCCTATCCATTTCTTAAGGGAGACAGAATGGTCATACAGTTGCCCATAAGCAGGGTCTTTCCACAGCAAGTGACCAACCGGACAAGTTCAACAAAAAAAAGATGGTCTAACAAGAACATTTATTCTAAACAAGAAAGCATACTATAAAAACTGGAAAAAAAATAAATGAGTCTTCAAATACTTCGAGACGCTGCCAAAAGACCCCTGATTTGTAACTTCTTCGGCATCCACCTGATCAGCCAAGCCTTCAGTAGCGCCACTCGTCTGCTCCACAACACTTGCCACCATCTCATCAGTTGCCCTCTTCTCTGCTCCATCTTCTTCGACTACCGCCTCTTCAGCTGCCTGCTTTTTAGCTCCATCCATGTTTGTAGCATTGACTTGCTCACTTTGAACAGGGAGCAAATCAGGACAGAACACCTCGATGTCTTTATCTCCAATGGCATAGAATGGAGCAGTCTCCTTCGTGCAGTCCAAGTAGCCCAGCTTGTACACATCTATGATAGTTTCAAGCTTGGATTTTTTAGCAAACTTGTGATTTGCGCTAAATCTAGCCATTTTTTTCGACTAACCAAGTCAGCAGCAGAAGAGTTAAGTTCAGAATCCTTCTCTGCGAGGGAACTCTTCAACTCAAATATCAACGCCCTCAATTCAGACGTCTTCTTTTCACAACGGATCTGCTCGGTCGAGAGCTTGCTAGTCAAATTAGCATTCTTCTTCTCTCACTCGCTGAGCTGAGCAAAAAATGGGGCAACAACAAATGAGTTTCGACCAACAAAAAAAAACTACTCATTTTTTAAGCAAATGAACAGTTGCTTCTCTTTGTTTTTCCAAGGAAAGACTTCAAAAGGTATCTAAATCGCCAACTTGTTGGATATGATAGACTAGCTTCACATAGACGGGCTTGATATGAAGTTCATCTTCGGAGATCAGACACACATGCATCAGCTGTAAGACTGGACTTATCCACCTTGGAATCAGCCGATGGCGTTGAAGGAGAACCGTTTGCCCGAGCAGATGACTTTCTCTCCTTCTTAAAAGCCTTCATCCTCACCTCCAAATGAGTCAACAATGCTGAATCAACTCCACCCTTAACTGCTCATGACCCGACAGCTAGATCGTAATGGTTGGGCAGATGAGCAAACATCCCAGTTCGATCTACATTCCTTCACTGGTGCAGACGACTCGAACATCGGAGAGGAATATCAGCATCTCTTTGCCTCTCAGTAAGTGAACTGGTTCACAAGCGGACCACTTCACGGAGCATATCACAGTTTCGAACTCATCAACATGAGGCTTAAGTGGAACATTCCGCATACCGCCAATCCTGTTGTTGTCTAGGCCGACAAGGTGCTTAACCCTAGCATATGAAGGGGAGCAGATAGACCCGGCAATATTGGACACGACCCGTTAACACGACACGAATTCGCACGAAAATAACAGTATTTGGGTCGAGCGTAATGGGTCGGGTTGAAAACGAGTGGACCCGTTACTCACCCGTTAAGCTAACGGGTCGTGTCAGTATTATTCGCGAATCACCCGTTAACCCGTTAAGAGGAAGGGCATTTTTGTAATTTTCGTTATAAAATTAACCTAGATTGAATTGTATCATCTGTTTCGCTACCCTTCTTCCTTCTCACGCCGCTCTCTGCTGTCTCTTTCTCTCAAGAAAAACAAACACTCTCACGTTCTCTCTCTACATCCAAACCAAACCATCAACAACATCAACTACCTATCTTTCCTCTTCTCCACCGAAAAGGTATGAAAATCTCAAGTATTTAAGCGTTTTAATTTTCATTTATGAATTATATCAGTACCAAATTTGTACATAACAGAATCTGTCATTTATGAATTATACCTGTCTTTCCCTTCTCTGTCCACCGCCACCACCCTCTCCTCCTCCTCCGCCCCCAATTCTACTGCCAATGGACGGAGATGGTGTGGGAGCCAGTGTCTTAGAAAACGGTGGAGGGCTTACAGAGTGGACCAAGCTTATGAAAAGGAAAAAGGCAACATAGATCAGTAGTGTCCGAGCCATGTTTAATTAAACACTTTATGATACTTTCACATTTATGCATGGTTTGCATAGTATGATCTATTTATATAGGGCAAGGAGAGGAGCCGATTCAGTCCTTAATTGTTTAGTGGCTTCTGCCTATTTTATCAACTTGCTGCACTATGTTCTTTGTTTGATTTATTTTTATTATATCTCTAATTTGAGGTGTTTTCATTTAATAATTTGTTAAAAAATATTGTTATTTTTTAAATGGGTGAAACGGGTTAAGCGGGTGAAACGGGTGAAAAACGACCCATTAGCCATAACGGGTCGTGTCGTGTTATTCGCGAATTTGTGCGGGTCGTGTTTGGGTCTAGTGTTTCTGACCCGTTAAGCTAACGGGTCGTGTTCGTGTCAACCCGTTAAGATAACGGGTTGACACGAACACGACCCGTAACCCGCAAAAACGACCCGTTTGCCAGTTCTAGGAGCAGATCCTACTTGTGTCTTCTCAGCAGAAGTGAGCTTTGGCTTTTTCCTCAACGTAGACACGTCCTTCACTGGCAAAGAAGCAGCTTTATTTCTTGAAGACTTGATATCAGCCTTCCTTTTTTAGGGGGGTTCGGCAGACCACTCCTCCTTTCCAGCAGGCAGATCATCAGAGTATAGACCATTCTGCTTCCATCTCTCGATACTCGCTCAATAGCCAGCGTCACTCACGAAACCTCAGGGGAGTGTTCAGAGCTCGACCGACCTTATCCATGTCCAGCCCAAATTCCAACCTCTTTTAGATATCAATCACTGCAAGAAGAAGACAGAAGTTAGGCAGTCACACTTCAAGAAATTCAAATAAAAAAGAAGCATATCAAAACAATAATATGACGTACCGTTGCAGTAGGTAATGGGAACAGGTGGACCGTTGCCAACATCGCCTTTCAACCGACCGCTAACTTCTAGCACATCGTCATGCCACACATGATCTTATTGGCTAAAGTTGTCAAATAGCTTGGCATGGTAGATGCGAACTTGAGCATACTTCTCGTAGCGCCTCACTTCAAAGAAGTAGAAAAACTATCGCACCGTCAGCTCCAGCATGAAAAAACGGCTCAAATTCTCAAAACACATGATAACCCGATAAACTTTCGGCATACACTGACTCGGAGCACACTTCATGGGGCAGAAGACCTCCTTAAAAAGCTTTGATAGTGAGAACATGAAGCCTAAGGAAAAATAAAAAGGACGGAAGGTGATGATCCTCGCATCTGGATCATTTGCATCCACACAAGGCACATCGTTAGTCAAAGGCCCCATTAGCTTAACATGCACGCCAAGGAATGGAGATCGAACTGGGACTGAGCTTTAGATGTCACACAGTGCAGATTAGCCACAATCCTCTTCTTGTGCACTTTAGAACCATCCCACAAGTACAAAGGCACTTGAGAGCTCGATGACTTGCTACCATTTTTAGAAGTCATGATGACTAGACAAATAAAGAAAAAAAACGCCAACCAAAAAAAAAAAAAAAAAAAAAAGCCCAAGCCCACACCCTACAGTTGCATGGAGCAACAAGTGCAAATCCAGGCCCCGCTGCGCACGATAACCGTAACCTAAAAAAACAAAAGGAATTGTTTACGTGGCCCAAACAGCCAGCACCGACCCAAGCTGCAATGCAGCCCAGACCATCACTAGCACTACACGCTGGCCCTCCAAGACACAGCCCAGGTCCCCACTGCAGCAACCAACAAGGTTGCGACACAACCAGTCGGTCCCTCCGGCAGCCACCAGCGACCACCACTGCTCCCGTTGTCTCCGGCCGCTAGTCACGACGACTACCAACCGAGTCTCACCCAGCTGATCCTTGCCACGAAAAAGAAAAGACGAAGAATTAAAGAGATATATATATATATATATACGTGCTCGACTTATTGATATAACAATTGTTTCGTACATTTTTATTATCTTTCTCTTAGATTCTTGCTATGTTCTTGCCTGAGTTTAGTCCGTTTTTACTTAGTTTTGTGTTTTACTAGGTTTGAAGAGTAAAGATGGAAAAGCAAGAAAAATGAGCAATTTTGGAATTGAAATAAAGTGTGAAATCCTAGGAGCAGAATTTCCTGTGCAGATTAGTCAACTTGCAGAATATACTATACTTCCTTAGAGTAAACCAGATGTTGAGCCTTATATCGTTGGAAAGATATGGATGTTAGCTTTCTGTAGAATTTTACGATTCGTGATTCAGACGTGTGTGGAGAGAGTTGTGGCCGTTTTAGTACAGATAGTTCATGCAGAAAACAGGGTTCTCTTATGCTGGAGAGTTGGCAGGAGAGTCAAAGAGCTACTGCCATCATCAAGTTCTCGAGCATCATTACAATCCATAAGTTCTATTTTCTGTTTTCTAATTTTTCAATTATGTTTTCTTTGAACATGAGTAACTAAATTATTCTCTAGGGCAAGGATGACGCCCTAGCATGGATAGTTATGATTTTAATGTTATTTAATGAATTCTAAGTTTCTTTTAAATGAATATTTAATCACTATTTTAACTGTGCTATTTGTTTAAGTTCTTTGTCACCTTAGGGCTTTGCATCTAGTAAATTAGAAGATGAATGTGAGGCAGAACTCGCAATATAATTCAATTAGCTTCTTGTGATTAAGTGTGGTGAATTACATTATTGCTTGACGAAGAATAATAGTTTGCTTGGTTCTCTCGTTTTCTAGAACGTAATGAATCCAACTTGTTAAATTTATGCCTTAACCAGGATAAATTGCAGGATTGGGTATATAATCTTTGTCTGAACTAGAAAAGAATCTTACACTTAAGGAAAACTATGGTTTGAGTGCCTGAAAAGGACTTAGATACGAGAATTATCATCTAAACAATCGAAAGAATCTGTTGAATGCATTGAAATCTAACTTGGATTGCTTGTGGTTGATTCTAAAACCCTAGACCTTCATCGTTCTTTTTCAATCTTTAAAAGTCAACGTTTTAATTCTTAATTGCCTTGATTAATTTCTTGTTTGTTTCATAAACCTTCACAACAACAATCTCTAAAAATTTACTTGCATATCAGTTAGATTTAATTTAGGTATTCGAATATTAGATTAATTTGGAATCCTCGTGGGAACGATACTTAGACTTGTCAAACGCTATACTACATTATTTTTATGCACTTGCAAGGGCAGACCACTTACCTTGGGATGCACGGCAACTCCTCTCTTCGACATGCAATACAAATTCTCCAAGATCTCTCTCAAGCTAGAAAGTAGAGAAGTAAAGTTTGCAATTTGTAGAATAGCGAAGAGGAGCCCTATATTTATACAAGTTGGGCATCCTAGGTCAAGAGAGAATCGCAAGCCCATTTCTACTGGGAACCCAACAACAAATATTTTCGTCTCCAATCACAAGATGCTACGTGGATAAGAAGAATATCCCTTATGTTAATTAATTGAGCCTATTTATTTGGCCAATTAATTAATACTAAAAATAGAGATAATATCTTAAATATGGGACATTATCTTTACTTAATAAGATAATACCACCAATTTAGATGTTATCATAATTAAGAGATATTATCACCATCAAATTAGGAGATTTGATCCCAATCAAATCCTACAATTTGGGGAAATAATAAACTCATTCCTAATAAGAGTTTTATTCTTTGCAAAACCACAGCCTCTGAGGCTCCTATAAATACATGGCTTCATTCATCATTAAAGGTAATCCAATTTCTACCCGAGAAAACCTTACACACACACTCTCTCTCTCTCTCTCTCTCTCTCTCTCTCTCTCTCTCTCTCTTGCTTCCCCTCTCTCCATTTTTTTTCCCCACAAAGCTCCGTCCTCAACACACTGCTCCGGCCACCCGGTTCTCACCCTAAAGAAATCTCCGTACCCTTTTTTAACTATTGTTTCACCTAGATTCAATCAAACTAACTTAGGCATCGGAGGGTCTTTGGACAACATCATCCGGGTGTGGTCTATTTACTCTGGTCTTTTTTACAAGAATCGAGGAAGAGAGAGAAGGAAGTTCAAAGGGCAAAGGATCTAGAAGCGAATATTCTCCCGAGGGATTATTTGCACAAACAATTATCACATTCTTAGATATATTCATGGTTTATTGCAGTGTGTGTCTATTTTTTTAAGTTGATGCAATTCTCCTTGATAAGGAACATGAGTATTTTGTATGGTTTTATCTATTAATTATGAATTAGAATATTATCATTTTCATATTTTGTATAGAAATTGTTTTAACCTTTTACACATTGACCTTTGGAATGAAAATTCCTGAATTCGTCACTATGAAATATACAAACAACATACATATTTATATGCATGTGTCCCATGTATGGTAGGTAGTTAATTACGTTGCACATTAATTGATCAAGTGTACTATGTCATTTGTCGACACACATCAAACGGGCATGTCACACTTGACATTTCTTTTTCAAGAATTTTGATGCCCCTGTCCCAGTCCATTTCCAGCTGGCGGACAAAGATAATAAGATCATGCTTTCAAATCCATTGATGGAGAGCTGAAACTCCACAACGCTCCCATGCCACCAACACACAGTAGGATCTGTTTCATTAATTTAGGGTGTACATGAAAAACGTTAATGAACAATAATGCATATATACAGTTTTGGGTAGAAAATAATGACGAATACTGAAACGTTCACCAGAAGAAATTGAATGGTAAGAAATGATTTTGAAATATACCCCACTGCTTCTTTTTTTTAAAAAAAATAATAATAAAACGTGCATTTACCAGGCCAAATCCCCTCCCAGTTTTTTTTGTAATAGTTACGCTTCCTACCAGTAAAATCCTATCGCTATTCTCTCAACCAGGCCAAAGAAACAATGTTGCCTTTCACCAGAAGAAAAAAGATAACAATATTGATCATCCTACCAAAAAGGATAACAATATTATGTTACCATAAATTCTAAACCCTAAATCCGAGCAGATAATTTATCTGTGAGAATCTTACGTTACCTACCCTTCCTTTTTTATTTTTCTTTCTCCATGACTGACAAAAGAATGGCTGATTCCTAACTACTCGTTTGGAGTGGCCAGCCATCGTTGTGAAGAAAAGAAAGCACATGCAAATTGCAATGCCTAGATAAAGGAATTAGCAGAAACATTTGCAACTAGCTCCCATGTTTGTGGTACTGGAGATATTTAACCCAGCCAGCTTCATTGAGAGAAATTATTTGGTGAAACGGGGTAGAAGGGCTAAAAGGAAACCCAATCCTGGGTGATTTTCTAGCAGACGGTGCCTAGTGTGGTGGTGGCGTAGTCAGAAATTTTGTTACGGGAGTGATTTTTTGTTTCTGAATTTTGATAATCATGTTGTAAATTTGGATGGAAATTATTTGAAAACTCTGATAGCCAAATGGTAAACTCAAAAATAAAATCTCATGTAAGCTACCAAAAAGTTGAAAGGAAAGTTTATAATGGCTCGTTTTGGAGTGATTCTGGAGAAGCGTATAGGAGGTGCTTCTCCTCCAAATCAAATCACTAACGCCCCATTTGGTTCATGGAAAATGAGACTTGGGGATGGAAAATTAATTGATTTCCCATGTTTGGTAAGTCCAGGCATGAGAAATCGTTGCCCGGCCCATGGGAAAGTAGGGGGAAAGTGAAGTCATCCTTCCAACTTGGGTTTTGTTTTCCTTCCTCATGGGAAAGTTTGGGGAAATGAACCAACATTAAATACACATTTTTCATGACCATTTTGTCCCCATTAACGATTTAGAATTACAATATATCATTAAATGCATTCTTTTTTTATTTTAATTAATATGGGTATAATTGAAAATTTATACAAACTTTGTTTTCCATTCCTACTAAAAACAAACATAGGAAAGGAAATAAAGTGTTATCTCCCGATTACTTTCCCAGCATTACCAAACATGGGAAAAGAATCTTCCATTTCCTATCCCTTGGGAAATAACATGGGAAATGATCTCCCTTCAAATTCATTCCGTGAACCAAATGATGCCTAAAAGTGATTTTTTGGAAAAGCACGTGGGAAATGCTTCTTCCCAAAAGTGATTATGGCCTATCCAAAATCAAGCCCAATGTAAATGGTGGAATCATCGATAGAATATTTTAGGAAAAAACTTAGCTCCTTAAATTTACTATTTCTATTATTATTATTATTATTATTATTATTATTATTATTATTATTATTATTATTATTATTATTATTTTAAACACAATTTCTTAAAATCCAAGTCTTTTTCACCTATTTTTCTCTTTTTTCGGTAGACAAAACGTACTTCCTTTTGGTCTTCCTATCATGCTTGTGACTTTTGTTTATTCTCTTATTCTCAATATAATATATTATCAAGTTTCAATTGAGTTAACTTACTTAATTAAGGTTTGTTAAACTTTCTCTTATTTTTATTGTGTTCTCTCCACCCGTAGTTTTTGGGTTTGTGAAATTTTGAGTATTCTCCCTATTGAGTTTAATGGCGTTTATGTGTACTTTTCAAATTCAAATTCAAATTGTAGCCCCATGTATTAGGTGAGTTTCTCTCTAGAGCTCTCTAGATGTTGCTAGGGTTCTACTAGGAGAGGCGAGATACGTGCAGACTTGAGGTTCTGACGGCCTTCTTTCTATGTTTACGGATATGATCTTAGGTGGATGGGGGGGACTCTATTAGAGGCAAGGTTCCTTTTTTCGCTTGCGGTTGAGAAGATAGGCTACCTCGATAGACCGACAACCACTACGCTTTGTTTGATGTAGAGTACTCACCTAATTCTCTAGGACAGTATTGTTTTTTTGTACTTGTTACTATTTTTCCTCATTAATAAAATATTATCGTTGTTGTGTCAAAAATAAAATAAAAACATCATTGTAAATATTAAGAGCTACAAGCCTCTTAAGTGTAGGAGTAATATATTTGATATTGGCCATTTTCATTACTTTGGCATGTATTGTGAGTTCAATTTTTTTCTTTTATATATATTTTTGTGAAAGAATTCAATACATAAAATCTTGGCTCAACCACTAACGCGTATCAATCATCTACAGATATTTGCTCATGATTAACTATTATACATCATAATGAATGAATCGAGATTAGTTTTGTTGTTGGGCTTTGGCCCCAATAAAATAATACAAATATACGAATGCAGATGGAAAATTAAATTCATGAAGGAAATAATTAAGCAACTGATGCCTCCGTCTGTGCTTTTCGAGTGGGATGTATACTCATCAAAATTCTTAAAGTTTGACACTTGTCCCATGGTTAACTTCAGTTAATTTTATGTAAAAAATAAAAATAAAAGTCTATTAATTCTACTAATCAAACCAATAGAGAATCACATATATGAAAATTCATAAATAAAATTAAAAATACACCAACACAGATTAACAATTATACCAAAAGGATAGACAATTACATACTAAGCAAGAATAATCACAAAGGATGAACAAATACATACTTGAAGTTGATCAATTTAGCGAATATCTCTAAACTTTTTCCCTTCCGTAATCTGCACATGAATTCAATAGAAAGAGAGAGAGTCATAATAGGGACAGTTATAAAGTTAAAAGGCCAACCTTGTGGGAATGGAAGGAAACGTGGTATTGACTGCTAGACCCCACATGGTAAAATAATATATTATTCAATACCACGGAAAGCTAAAACTGGATTAAGTTCTTTTTACTGGATTGTTCTTTTTGGCTGCAGGCCCTTCACTTTCTGCATTTGGAGCTTCCTTGTGGGCCGTGGCAATGCATATAGTTATTTTGAGTGGGGACCTGGGAATGCACTGGTCCAATTTGCCCCCACCCATGGTCCTGCATGCTAATCGAATACTATAAAGAAGTTGCATATGCATGCAGATGGATTTCATACTAATGGAGTCTCCAGTTTCCTTTCACGATACTAATAGTAATTAACTAAAAAATTAAATATGATTACAAGGACAGAAAATGAAACATGTAAATTGCAGTAGAGCTGATGATGAAGAAGAAATTTTTTAATGCGGATTATGAAGAGTGAGAGAGGGACAGATACAGAGTGTGGGGAAGAGGAGAGAGGAGAGAAATTACAAAGACGTGCGTAGCGTTTGATTGGCAATACGTTATATTATATTATTTATGGATGTAGGTCACTTGTTCTCAGAAGAAAAGTTTCAAGGAGAGCAGGCTTTTCAGAGAAAGAAGAAGGCATTCAATTTTAATACATATTATTATTAGAGAAACAAATATATTTGAATTTAAGACATAAATGTAATAATATTATGTATTATTTTTCTTTAAAATAAATGTAATTTAATAAATGAGTTTTAAACTGAACAGGCCGTGTCAGCCCATTAAGCCTAATTATCTTGTTTCGACATGGCTCAAATATACAGATTGTGTCATATCGGGCCAATCCGCATGTCAAGTGATTAGTGTATATTAAAAGGAAATTTTTACATCCTTTTGGGAAAATAGAAAAATAGAAAAAAAGTTCTGACATATCCGATGGGTTTTCACCAACACAAAATTAAGAAAGTAAATTCTGAATCTTAAATTTTTTTATTTTTTTATTTTTGTTCAATAAATTCTGAATCTTAAATTAGATACAGGTTTACAGTATACGGTGGTACCTTCCCTGGAGCAGAAGTACGGATGTCCAGATAATTTATTTGAATAATGAATTACAGCGGTAAAAAGACGTGTTGCTTTTCAGGCTACACATTGGTCCACACAGTGGTGTTGATCTGACGAAGGCGATGAAACAAGGGCGTTGGTCCAGTCAGTGGGACCGACAATTGAAGATTGTGATAGTTAATGCATATCTGAAAATGGTAAATCTTAAGAAATTAAAAATTGACCATGAGTAAAAGTTGATAAATAAAATTTGGTGTGGTACCATTAACATTATTTTAGTCCCAATATAAAATAGTGATCGATCATTCTCGATTGCAGGGATCAAATTATTTCAGTCCAATTTTAGGTAGTCGATGCCCATCTTATCACTCTCAATCTTCTCACCAGTACACGCATTGAAGTAATATTCTCAATCTTATTACTCTCAAAATCTTCTCACTAGTACACGCATTGGAGTAGTACTTTCAATCTTATCACTCTCAAAATCTTCTCACTAGTACACGCATATCACTCTCAATCTTCTCACTAGTACATTGAAGTTCCTTTTTTCCTTCTCTTCTTAACTACTCTTTTAGAGACACATGGGAAAGTCTACTCACTGTGTTGCGTCGTCCGGCATGAAGAAAGGTCCATGGACTCCGGCAGAGGACCAAAAGCTCTTAGCTTACGTTCAAAAACATGGTCATGGAAATTGGCAATCCTTGCCTCAGAGAGCTGGTCAATTTCTATAACTAACTCTTCTTTCATAGCTTTCCAATCATTTACAATTTCACAGCTAATTTCATTGCATATTTCTCAGCCAGTTTTGGGTAACATATTTGGACACAGCAGATAAATATTTTTTTGGCAAAAAGTCACTTTGTGGAGGGATAATTTAGTCAATAAATTATTTAAAAATTAATTCTTTTAAATATAAACATTACAAAATCGAAAAATTAATAAATGAAAAATATATCTTCTTCTCCCCTCCCTAGAAGTCTTCGTCACTCTCTCATGTATCTCTCCCTCTTCATTATTTCTCCACCACCTGATAGCACCCTATCCCCACCCCCACCCCTAGCCATGACCCACCCCCAACTCCATCCCTAACGACAACCCAACACCAGCGCACCGACCCCCTTCATCCCTCTCTCTCTCTCTCTGATTTGGCCCTTCACCTCACCCCACCATAGCCCATTAATCATCCCTCCACCACCATCATAACGTAAAACTAGATATTCTTCAATATACAGCTTGGTTCATCAATCGATTTTTAATAACTTGGAGATAGCTATAGATTTTACCCTTCCCAACTTCAAGTTCTGTTTCTCAAAAACACCATCAAATAAGCCATAATAAGTGAAAATAAATTTGAAATAGGAGTAGAGTTCTTGGTGGCTGGGCTGGGTTGGAGCCTTTTTTTTTTTCTTTTTTTTTGCATACTAGGGTTTTTTGGAACTTGGTCTGTTTTAAAAATAAATAAATAAAACATATATAATGATAATAGGTCTTCAAAGATGCGGGAAGAGCTGCAGGCTAAGATGGAGAAACTACCTACGACCTGATATTAAGAGGGGAAATTTCAGTTTGCAGGAAGACCATACCATCATTCAACTTCATGCTCTTTTAGGCAACAGGTAAGTACATCACATGCAATATTTTGATTTATACGCATATATGCATTTTAGATGGTACTCTCATGTCTCATCCCAAGTACTCTGAATTCTCTCTTATTTTTCTTTCTGCCAAACTTTATCATAATATACTATCTACTAGAGAGTGTTTAGCCATTTTTATCGATGTATCATCATGAGGTGGAGTACGATTTCTTGAGTCTTGAGCTATTGGGGTATATTTATGCATGCGTAGTGTCAAGTCCGTTCTCCTCACCATGTAGCCCATTCTCCTCGACCACATGTATACATAAATATACCCCAAAAGTCCAAGACTCAAGAAACCATACCCCATCTTATGATGATATATTGATCAAAATGGCTATAACGAGACTCCATGTAATTGCTTATAAAACCTAGACAAACCTAGTAGTTTATTGATGAAAGTTCAACACATGTCATCACAAGCCGAGCAGTGGCAAAGCCACCTAAGGACCACCGTGCGCCCAGGCCCCCTCTCCTATTTTTTTTATTTTAAAATATATTTACTTATATACGTGTATATTTGTTGCGTTTTGGACCTCAATCCATTATAATTTTATTTGTTTTCTTTTAATTATTGTTTTAGATCTTTGAATTTTTTTTTTTTTTTTTTTTTTTTTTTTGTTTTTATTTATTTTATATAAAAAATCCTTAATTAAATTTAAATATTACAATAAATATTTTGATATTGCATTTGGAAAATCAAACTATAGTAATTTACAAATGTTTGATATTTTTTTTTTATATTGAAACAAGTTTAATAATTCATGATGTGATGCTTTCTTTATCGCAAGCAATTTTTATCTTGTCAAATTATATTTTTCAGTTTGAAATCAAAAGTCAAATATACAAAAATTATATACATATATAATTTTTTATTTTTTTTTAGTTATTGTTTTACTTGGTCCCTGAAAAACCTAGAATTATATAGAGTGAGCTTAGCTCCTTTAACAATGTTTCGACCAACTAAGATTAATCTTGAGAAGCCAAAAAACAAATATCATAATTTTATTCTTCATTAAAAAAAAAAACAGAATTTTATTTGTTTTCTTTTTATTATTGTTTTAAATCTGTTTTTTTGTTGCCAGATATTGTTATAAATCTTTGAATTGGGTTTCTTTGTAGCATTTATTTATCGTTTAGTTCAAAAATTCCAATTAAATTTAAATATTATAAGAATTATTTTTTAGTCCGACACAACACCAAACATAGGTCTTCACTATTTTTACAACCCAACTTCTTAGTTCGACGCAGCACTAAACGTAAGTCAGTACTTACTCTAGCTTATGCCAATCCGAGATAGTCCCAGGATTTAGTCAAGTCCGTCATGCCAAACAATCCCTCTATGTATGTTTGGGATGTGCTCCTCTTTTGTTAGGATCATTTTGGATATTTTTTTATTATAAAAAACTCGCTTTATTTATGATACTGATATTGTGTTCCATTTATATGAGCTAGGTGGTCGGCTATTACTGCGCACTTACCAAAGAGAACAGACAATGAAGTCAAGAACTACTGGCACTCTCGTCTCAAGAAACGACTGGCCTTGAAAGGCTACGACCCTGTAACCCACAAGCTTAAGACTACCATCTTTGGCTTCGCCAATGGTTCAACTGATGACCCAAAGACCAACTCAAACCTCAACCACATAGCTCAGTGGGAAAGTGCTAGGCTTCAAGCAGAAGCCAGATTTGTGAGAGATTCAGAATTACACAAACAAGCTTATCATCCTTATAACAATAATGATATTTTTGCTACCTCATCAATATTATTAGGTCATAATAAGGACTTTGGGCCGACTGATCAATTATTTGGACAAAACGCACCACAATGCCTCGACATATTGACAGCCTGGGAAAGCATCTTAATGTCAAATTACTCAACAGCTGCAGGCGGCCAAGATCATGTTAATTCATTTGTTAATCATCTTGCTGGTGATTTCGAGCCTCCGATAATATCTACAATATCAAGCAATGGATCATCATTGATGGATTGTTTCTTTCATGAACCAATAGGGCAATATTTTAATGAAAATTATGGCACTAGTATCACTAAACCATTTGCGGCAATCCACCACAATATGGGGTTTAAAAGTGGGGCATGCTTGGAGGACTTTGGACTTGGGGAAATAATCATGCAAGGGAAAAAAGATTGTCCGATATCTGGAATTAGTATGTAGTACTAGGTATTGTAAATTGGTACTCAATACCACTATCGGATCTATGTCGTAGCTTGGTAACATGCAATAAAATTTGATTTCTCTCTTATCTTTATGTGATAGCAGTATATGGTTAAATATGTTGACGTGAGTTAACGTAACAAATCACTGAGCTTTATGTGCTTGTAGTATATGTGGTTAAATAATTAATTCACTCGTGTTATAATTTGTATATATTTATTAAATATTATATTCTAAAGTATAATTTGTCACTTCTCCAAATTATATTATGAATTAGTGCGTAACATCAATGATACTCTTACACTAAGCCACACAATGACAAACTTGATTGGTAGGCTTTTGGGTGCCTATTCCATTTTCTCTTGCCAGTGCACTCGGCCTTTACACTTGAGTTTTGTACCAAGCACTCTAAATTAGAATTGTATAGGAAAAAAAAAAAAAAAAAAAAAAAAAAAAAAAAAAGGAAGGAGTTGCCCTTTGAAATAACAAGAAAACTTAGAAACAAAAAATATTACCTGAAGGCAATTAGGCTTTTGGATATATTTATTTATTAGTGATGTGATGATCATAATAGTGGTGAATGTAGATCTTAGCATGACAAGGATACTATACATTTTTCGATACAAGCGATATTCTACTTTAATTCAATTTAAATGACGGGAAAGGGAATTCGAGCTCGAGTGCAAAATAAATAGCTCATCCACTTTAACCAACTTGACTAAGTCCATATCTATATACTGAGTTCTCTTGAAGGTGGGCTGGAGTTTGGTCATCAAAAGATATTTCACTAGTGTTTGCTTTCCATGCAGGGCAGACGACTCCTTTTAAAGCGATTGAGACTAGTGAGAGGCATTTAATATCTGATACAAGTTTTCCTAGTTGTTGAGGCAGACCCCAACACTAGTCTTGGTTTACCTAACTTCTCTACTTTTAGGTCTCAGAGAAAACCTAAAGTTTTTCTACTTTTTGCAATAATATGGAACACGTTTCAGTGACATTTAAAAGACAATTTGAGAGGACCACATGTGGAGAAAAACTTCCATTGCCAGGTAATGGTATCCAAACCCAATAGTAACACAAGGACAACTACCCCTCCAATCTCTCTCTCTATCTGCCCTCCAAATTCCTAAATTATGGACAGCTGTCGTTGTTCTATTTGTTGGGCATACCATTGAACTGGTATCCTTGTTCCAGGGAAGTCTTTCCCACAAAAGACTCACGCATTGTGCAGCCAACAGTCAAACTCTCACTGTAAGAAGAAGAAAAAATGACGATAAATGTAGGACCTTTTGTGAAAGAAAAAGAGAAAGAGAGGGAGATAACAAGATGAGAGAGGTGACTAAGTGAGGAAGATAATAGGTAATAATAAAATGGTTTAAATAAAAATTAAAACCAGTTTTAAAAAAACTCAGCTTCTTTTTTTAGGTTTTTACAAATAAGCCTATTTTAGCATGACATATTATACAAATACCCATATAAACTTATTTGGAGAGAAAAACTCAAAACTATCCACTTGTCATTTTCTAATTAGTTCTTAGAAAATTTTAACACACTAAGATCCAATAAATAAATAAAATATAAGTTTTATCGAAAGTAGCCAAAATTTGCCCCCTACTTTTATAAATGTCAGTTTTTATAAAAACTTTCAAAAATAGCAGGAAACTCAGTTAAATAGATTAAAATACCCTCAAAACTAAAAACCCACATAAAACCTAAGAAGCAAAGTTACACCCAACAAGTAAAAAAACTAAGCTCGAAACCATTGAATTTTGCAGCCATGGCGAGCACCAAAGGTCTAAGGATTATGACAGAGAGGTTGAGCTATTTAGATTTACTGCTTTTTAAAAACAAATGTATGTGGGATGTCATTTATGAGTAGTGACAATCCTAATTGCTAGTGGATATACTTCCACTGGTATCACTGTAAGAAAAAGAAAAACAAAGCTACACCCAACAAGAAGACCTTAATATTACTTGGGACGCAGGACAATTTGAACCAGTGTATGATGTGAGGATTTTGAAGGTTTACAACCTGTTTGTCTTTCAACCGGACCAAATCCATAGCATGATCTTGTCATTTAATTGTATGTTGTACTCCGAACTTTGTCATCTGCTTCTTGGTAAGCCAATAATAAAGTTGTAGTTTTGGCTTCTGGACTATGTTTTCATGGGCATCTTTGAAGTTTGAGGATCAAAACAAAAAGTTGGCTTATTTGGGGGCAGCATTTGTTTCTCGAGTGAGTTGGTTGAGTGCAATTGAGACCATGTTGGACCAGCATGTCGCACATGATGTAAATTTGATATTACCATCTCTTTTTTATTTGGCGAAAAAAAAATATTCTGGAGTATCATCTCTAATTTTGAGTTAACCTCCCAAACACTTTTTTGCTTTTTAGGTTTATGTGGGTTTTAGTTTTTGGCTATTTTTTAAAGTTTTTATAAAAACTTATATTTATGAAAATATAGGGTAAATTTTAGGTAAATTTTGGCTAGTTTTGATAAAAACTCTTAGTTTTGGGTAAATCTATCCAAATATGCTTTATAAGAATTTTTGTATAATATGTCATGTTAGAATGGGCCTATTTGTGAAAAGTCCTTTTATTTTTATTTTATTGTCACTCTTTTAATAAAAGAACAACACTTTCCATTAAATAAATAAATGAATAAAATAACAGCACTGAAATTTTACAAGAAAACAAAAACTAAAAATGTTACCCGACCTTTATTAAAAGATGGATGTGTCAAGAAAATTTTCTTTTTATTTATTAATGTGACACACTTAAGATTTTATGTTTTAAGTATAAGATAACGCAAAATCTTGCACCCTAAATAATCGATTATGTCAATAAATAACGTGACTCGTCGAAAAATTGTCATTAAATCAAAACTTTAAAAAAATAAAAATAAAAATAATAAAAAAAAGTAGAAATGAAATTTTCTCAATGCGTCTCCATTCTCAGCATGATGTCTAGAGAGCAACTACCCAATTAACCTCAATAACATTAGAGATGAAAAAAATAAATTGATGTGGCTGTCCACCTCAGCTGCCACATAAGATGGTATAAAGATATGGTATACAAATGTGGTAAGAATAGCATTATTCAAAAAATAATAAATAAAGAAAATGATGGGAAAGTATACAAAAACCACACAGACCATGAGGACACGAATGCAAAGACAACTTTTTTCAACGAGTCACAACCATTGCATTAATGTTCACACCTACAATTTACAAAGACGGTTGAACATGTGCAATTTATACTTTTTACTTAGAAAAACAATGAAAAGGAGAAAAAGCAGAGCATGAGAGTTGTGGACAAATTGTGTACACACAGCAAAAACATAATTATATTACAATCTGCCCTGCCATTTCCTCTCTCTCCTTCACTCACTCTCTTGCAAACCGGGAGAAGCACATAGATTCGATCAATATTCCCATCAAGAACCCGCATCTGCAAATCCATTCGTTTCTGCTACCAAGAAATGTGGTCAGTCATATTCTTTTCTGCTGTGTTTTGCCTGGTTATAGATTTTCACACTGTCAGCAAAGAAACCCATCAATTATCAACAATGATTCTCTTACTTTTGTAGTTTGCTTGTTTTGAATTTTGTTGCTGTATTTGCTTTTCCTTTACATGCATAAGATATAGTTTGTGGTAGAAAAATTTTCTTCCTTGTTTGCTGTTTCACTCCATCTGACTGAACTTTATGAAATTAGACTACTTTATGTTCATACCTTTTTATAGGTTGAATCATTTTTCAACTTAAAGTTGATCTTTCTTTGCGTTTTTTTTTCTTTTCTTTTTTTGGTGTTAGGTGTATCAGTTCCCAGCAGTTCAATCTTAGCCATAGCCATACAGCTAAACACACAGAAATTTCCAGGGTCTCTGTTTTTCCCTTGTTTTAATATGGTTTTTCACATTAATTTACCGCAAGCCCTGAAATTGTGGTAAAGAACAATATTTCTGGACCCAGTTTAGGCAAGTCCAGGGAATTGGTGAAGTTAATTATGGCTTTGTTCCAATTGAGAACCTTGTGTTTATGTCTCCTCCTCCTTGTGTTCAAAACCTGCATAGCCGGCCAACAACATAAAGATCGGATTTATCCTGGGTTCCAGGCATCTCAGATGGATTGGAGTGATAATGGGGGGCTGTTCTTGCTATCCAACAACACTGCTTTCGCCTTAGGATTCTACCAAGCCCTTGATGTCAAGTTGTATTTACTAGTAGTCATTCACTTGGGCACTTCTAAAGTGGTCTGGACTGCTAATAGAGGCTCACTAATTTCAAATTCTGATAAGTTTGCCTTTGAAAAAAATGGGAACGCCTACTTGAGAAGCAGTAACGATTTGGTTTGGTCTACAAACACAACAGGAGAAGTAGTTCAGCCATGCAGTTGCAGGATTCAGGAAACTTGGTATTGCTTGGTGACAAAGGAAGCATTCTTTGGCAGAGTTTTAGCCATCCTACTGACACTCTTTTACCTGGCCAGGAGTTCTCAGAAGGAATGAAGCTCAAAAGTTTTCGCAATCGCAATAACGTGTCTCATTATCTTGAAATTCAGTCAGGGGAGCTGGTCTTATATGCAGGATATCAAATTCCACAAATCTATTGGTCCATGGCAGATGACAGCAGGAAAAGCAATAACAATGTCAGTGGCAAGATTCATTCTTTGTCTCTGGTGTTCAATTCATGGAATTTCTATGGTGCAAATGGATCCTTACTTTGGAAATTTGTCTTCTCTGACAATAAGGATCCAAATGCCTTCTGGGCTGCTGTTTTAGGATCTGATGGTATAATATCGTTCTATAATTTTCAAAAGGGAAAGTCTGTTGCTGCTGAAGCAACTAGGATCCCACAAAGTTCATGCAGCACTCCTGAGCCTTGTGACCCCTACTATGTGTGCTATTTTGAGAATTGGTGCCAATGCCCTTCACTTCTCACCTCACGCTTTAATTGCAAACCTCAAGCACTCCCAACCTGTAATACCTCCAAAAGTTCAGTAGAGCTCTTATACGTTGGTGAGAAGCTTGATTACTTTGCACTTGGTTTTAGCACACCCTCTCTGAAATCCAATCTGAGTTCCTGCAAAGAAGCTTGCCTTGGTGATTGTTCTTGCCTTGTGCTGTTCTTCGAAAACAGTTCTGGACATTGTTTTCTGTTTGACCGGGTAGGGAGTTTTGAACGCTCCGCTGCAAATTCTACTGGATACATCTCTTTTATGAAGTCCTTGAGGGATGGATTAAGCCCTGTAAAGGAAGGCAAGGGAAATAAAAGCAAGCGCATTTTGTTACTCATGGTCATTTCGGTTGCAACAATCTTGGTTATTGTTGGTCTAGTTTATGTAGGATTCTGGTACTACCGCAGGATGAGACTATTGGAATATTCCCAAGAAATCTTGGAAGAGGATAAGTTCTTGGACAGTCTTTCTGGAATGCCTATTCGCTTCACTTACGGTGATCTTAGCAGAGCAACTAAAAATTTCTCCAACAAAATTGGCCAAGGAGGGTTTGGTTCAGTCTACCTAGGTGTGCTTCCAGATGGCATCCAACTGGCCGTGAAAAAATTGGAGGGCGTTGGCCAGGGAAAGAAAGAGTTTAGAGCTGAAGTCACTATTATTGGGAAAATTCGTCATGTCCATCTGGTCAAGCTCAGAGGTTTCTGTGCAGAAGGGCCTCACAGACTTCTTGTTTATGAGTACATGGGTAAAGGGTCTTTAGATAAATGGATATTCATGAACAAGAACAACAAAAAGGATGAATCGTTAGATTGGAATACAAGATTCAGTATTGCCTTGGGGACAGCAAAGGGGTTGGCTTATCTCCATGAAGAGTGTGAAGAAAAGATTGTCCATTGTGATATAAAACCTGAAAATGTTCTTCTTGATGACAATTTTGTTGCCAAAGTTTCAGATTTTGGTTTGTCCAAGCTAATGAACCGGGAGGAGAGCGGTGTACATACGACGCTGAGGGGCACAAGAGGCTACCTTGCACCAGAATGGATCACCAATTATGCCATATCCGAGAAGAGTGATGTATACAGTTATGGGATGGTCTTGCTTGAGATCATTGGTGGAAAGAGGAATTTTGATCCAGGGGACAGTTCCGCGAAAGGCCACTTTCCTTCTTATGCCTTTAAGCTGTTGGAAGAGGGAAATATGAAACAGTTCCTTGATCCAAATCTAGATGTCGATGAAAATGATGAAAGAGTTTTAAGTGCAATTAAAGTTGCATTATGGTGTATTCAAGATGAGATGCAACTAAGACCCCCAAATGACTAAAGTTGTCCAAATGCTTGAAGGTCTTTGTACTTTACCCCCACCGCCGATATCCCCCTCTGTGTCAGACCCTCATTTTAGTTTCTTACAATGGAGCAGCAAAGATGCTACTTCATCATCAGGACTCAGTAATTACAACAGTGATATACTCATGTCAGACATTCGGCTTTCAGGGCCAAGATGATAGAAGAAAATTTTATGACTGGTGATGTTTGTAAGGGGTTTTAAGCTTTCCAGGATGAAAGGTAGTGTGTCAGCTTAAGCATTATTGATTGACGAAAAAAAAAGCTTATGTATTATTGACAGTTAAGGCCTTTATATAGCTGCTCATCAAGTTTTTAATTTTGAAGTTTCATGACATCTGGTTTTGTTATGGTTTTTGTTATGAATCTCAAAAACATGACTCTTCGTTACATGCTATGGCTAGTAGTTTTGATCCTATAGCAGCTCATAAGTGATATTTTAATGCTTCTTCAAGCTGGTTCATTCACATCTCCGAAGGAGTGATCCTTGTATGCTTGATCTGGCCTCCACAGATTCTAAGCTAGAAAAACATTGGGGTTTCTTTGTCCCAAAGATCCAAAATCAACACAAAACTGAAACTATCAACTAGTCGAATGCCCGTTTATCAGTCTTGCCACACATTTCACAGAGAGGTGTTGATTATATAATAAGGTTGATTATGAAGATCTGCATAGTTTGGGATCAAGGATATTGCAGCAGAATTCAAACTCTTGTTCCTTTGTTTTTCTTTATAATAAAAAATGGCAACATAATAAGTATCAATGCTGCCTCATTTTAGATACCTTAAACATCCAAGAGTCAAACTTTATGGAGAACACGGCAAAGAGGCCCATATAAGTTACTAATCCAGGAAAAACTGAACTTAGAAAGAACGAGGGATTTTGACAAAATTTAGAATATGTAAAGAGTATAGCCGCGCGGCTATACGCTTTAAAAATATTATGGAGTTAAAAAACTATGCAACATTTTGAAACGAATCAGTTGTCTTTTCTTTATTTTTTTCTTTTTTTGGGTAATGTGCGCCAAAATTAGGAAGAGGGATAAGGGTTTCATACATACAATGCCAATATGTCATAGGGATTCAACCCTGCTCGCAAACTTATCGATTGTCATCAAGCAAATTGTTGGATCTTTGTGATAATCTAGCAAACTGTTGCACGGTAATGATATTTGTGATAATCTAAAGAATTGCTTAGGCCACAAAATGGCAAAAATTTCATCATGAAGAAGCATCCTGATAATCAAAACAACCAAAGACTGCAGAGCACCATTGAGGTAATAACCTAGTATTCTGAAAATAAATCAAAAATCTCCAGGGCATAGGCTTTAAGTTCAGGACTTTTTTGGACCTAAAAAAATTGTTCAGGACTTTCCTGATTCATAAACCTGTTTGCCTTGATGTTCACCATATAGTTTTTTTACTTCTTTACCCACAAGAGGCACCAACCACCATTCAATGATTCAATGGTTCATTTATTGATAACATCTACTGTAGACGTAGAATATATAACTTCCATATTTATTAGATATGTAATCAATAATGAAATTAGTAGATGTTATAAAAGGGATCTCGAGCCTCTGCATTTAGAGATAGCGCATTTATCCGCATTTTATAAAATCTAGACCATTTAACTAATTCAATGTTTGTGAGTATGCCACATCAACTACAATAAGTTTGGTTCCTTTTTTTTTGGTTCCTAAAACTGACGGTGTTACTTTTATCGTCCTCTCCTTGAACTGCTCTTTACCTCTCCTCTGTCAACTCTTCTGACTTATCTTCCTTCCTTCTCTCATCTTTTAACAATTCATCACACCGCGACTTGGTATTGAACACATGACACATTAAAGTAGAAGAAGAAGCCAAAAGAAAAAAAAAACAAAGAAGAAAGATCAGGTTACAAAGAGTGAGAGAAAGAAGCAAGAGAGCGGTAGGCTGAACGGACGATAGAGATGGAGGGGTTTGTTTTTTTTTTTTTTTTTTTTTTTTTTTTTTTGTTGAAACTAAACAACAACAAATTTTTTTTTAAAGGAAACAAATCTATTGTAGCTGATGTGGCGTAGCTATAATCATTAGATTAGTTGAATGGTCCAAATTTTATGAAATGCGGGGTAAATATATTAACTCTAAATGCAGAGACTCGGGATTCTTGATGGAGATCCTCTTCTTGAATTTTATCTGCTAGAATTTACTTGTTTTTTCTCTTGCACACGCTACCTCACTAAATTCAATCTAAGAGATATAAGAAGAGAGAGAAAATCTAAACATATCATATGCTTTGCAAAGGTTTTTTCTTATCTTTTTACCCACATAGTGTTGGAGAACAATCAGTATAAAACCAAATAACATAATAATAACAAATTGAAATATGTTATATATATATATATAATCAAATCAATACAACAGGAGAATAAATTTATAGAACACTGACTTGGATTGATGATAGAGTCCTGCAAAGTTGCAATGTCCTTTAGACAGTATTTTCTCCTCTACCCTTGTGCTTGTAGTTCGATAAGAGTCTATCCACCAGAATTAAACTATCACAAATCAAAGCCTAAGCATTGTTCCTTTGATTTCTAGCAAACAATAATATGATTTTTCTCATAAAGTGCTTATGTGTGAGAATGATAATGTTGTTCAAAAATTGTTTTTTCTAGTTTGGATGAATTGTCAATATATAGAGGTTTGACACCTCTTCATCCAGTAGTTAAATTAACTGTTTAACATATTTGAATTTCAGATAATGATTTTATCTAAAAAATGAATTTCTAATTAATAAAAATAAATTGTTAATAAATCAACAAGACAAGTGTATTTTGCCTATACAAACTCCAACAGTGCGTTTGGATGAGGAAATTTAAAAATACGAAGGATTTCATAAATGACGGAATTTAAAATGACGGAAATTAATGTTCTAGAATTTGTAAAGTTTCTTGTTTTGGGGACTGATTTAAAACACAGAATTTAACCTTTATTTGTAAAGTCATCTTTTTTTAAAACTCAATATCTCTTGAGATTTTATAAATGACAACTTTTAGATAGAATTTAAAGTTGGGATTTATGATCTCCAAATTCCATGTTTTTTCCCACACGGAATTTCTAAATTTCTATGTTTTTTTATCCAAACACGGGAATTGGTTCATGTCAATTTAGAAATTCTGAGTTTTGTCAAAATTCCAAGTTTATTTTCCTTATCCAAACGCACCATAACACATAGTAGATATTTCCCATGTGGAGACAAGAAAAAATGGCCAACCGAATAATGGGCCAAAGTGTTGAGATAGAGAGAGAGAGAGAGAGAGAGAGAGTGTAGAATGCAAGATAGAAAAAGGTCCAAACTTTTCCTGACCGTGCAACCACCAAATGTAGTATAGCTAAATGATGACTTTATTCATCTGTGTCTGTGTGCCTCCATACCCAATAATTGGTAGATATCACATCAAAAAGAGAGACTATAAATGCAATAAGAAATAAATCAACCAATGAGGAGGAATGACAACAGCTAATAATCACCAACAGAAGAAAGACAAAGCTGTATTTATCAAGAGACCCACTTAACATAATATATGAAAAACTTTACGAACCACAAAGAAAGAATGTATCTGGAAACCCGCAGAAAGAGAAATAGATTTTATTTTGGTGCTCACAATACTCATGCCTTTGATATTTTATTAGGTCTTGGTCTCCCTCCACATCTTTTCTTCTATTTTTCTCCCTTTCCATCTTTTTCATTTCTATTATTATTTTGAGGTGAAGAGATGATCAGAGTTCCATTTAGTCAAAATCCAACAGCTCAAGTATTGAAAACATATCAGAAAGATTACTCGCACATCATGAGCACTGAGAAGGATGACCGGATATTTTTGTTGTCCTCATATGATGATGTTTTTTTTTCTGTGCAAAATTACAAAAGCAGTTCTTCCACTTGTTCTTACTTCCAATAAAATTCATGTAATATTGTAAACCTACCAAGCAAGAGTGAATACCACTTGGTTTTCAATTGAGTTCCAGTCTGCTCAAGGAGAAGGATGAAAAGACAAATGAGAAGCCCCCAAAAAGGAGAAAAAACTTAGTTGCAATGGGGACAATAAATAATGTTATTCCCGTTTCACGGAAGTCTTTCTTCCCCAAAAGAAACGGGATTGTTCCTTTTTCTTTTAAACATATAGAGCACTATTTTGCCATTCCGGTTTCATTGAAGTCTTTCTCCCCAAAAAGAAAAGGGGTTGTTCTTTTTTTCTTTTAAACATATAGAGCAGATTAGTAATAAATCAGAGGGATTAGCATAGAAGAAATATGTCACAGGGGCTTACAGATTATACATAGACCTTATCTTTTCTCTAATCACATAAACCTTTATTTCAATGATACAGAAGGAGGTCCAAAGAGTCTGCCTAGTCTTCTCTTATTGGAACAGAGCATATTAAAAGAGAGAAAAACTCAGGACCATGACCACCACAACATAATATATATGTATGGAATAAGAAACAGAAGGTAGCAATCATATATATATATATATATATATATATATAATAAGCTATTATGTTATTTCAACTATGTTACAAAAGTCACAGCTAATATATGTTATTTATCCTAGAAGACAGAGAGTTGTCTAAGAGGCTGCAGTTAAGGGAGAATTGTGAGGAGCTCCGTGGAAGAAATTGGACGAAGATGTGTGGCTGCGCTCGGTTTCATGTTTAACCCCTTGATTTTCTTCATCTTCTTCATCTTCTTCTTCTTCAGCATCCCAAAGGAATTCAGCATATGAAGCCATGACAAAACTGCAAAAGGATAGGAGTTGATACATTAGTTTAAACAATAACAAACACCAATAAGAAAATCCCTAACCGAGAAACAACAGAACAAGAGATCTCCTAGAATCCAAAACAACCCTACATATGTGATCATAAGTTACAGAACCCCCCGAGAGATATTCCATTACTAGTCAAAACATGTTGATTCATATGAAATTTACTCAAAATATGTTCATCCATGGACAGAAAAATTTGACCAAATGGAGCATGTTCTTAGTCACTCTTAAGAAAACAACCTCAGAAGATACTGCACTTTCAACCGAGATTATAAACAGTAGGAACTTCAAAAGATCGAACTTCGATTCATTCAGCCTAATTATGTTGTTTGTGATTAAAAGAAAAAGAAAAGAATCAAAGAAGAGCATATGTTAGAACACTATCCCAAAAATTTATACAGAGCTGTAAACCATGCTGTATAAGTTAGCCAATAACTATTTGATCAAACAGGAGTAATATAAGCTAAAGAAGAAAAAGGAACTAAATTCGATAAACCGCATATGAACAAGAAACTTTGATCAAAACAGGAACTTGTTTCTTACCAGTCGTCTGGGGAGGTTTTAACAGCTTGATCATAGTAATTCTCAGCTCGTTCAGCATCCTTCTGTGTTTTCCATATCATATCAGCATAGAGTGATAAGACATTGGCATCATTCGGGTTCGCCAAAATCGCTCTTCCACAGTACTCCTCTGCTTTAGCATAATCTCCTCGGACCTATTCCCATTATTGTTAATCAGAGAAACTCCAAATTGATCAAAGATCAAATCTTCACGAAATATATATATATATATATATATACTTACACATTTATATATGCGCATAACATATTGAATGAAAAAGACATTTGATCATTTACTTCTTCTTGATTGTTAATCTAACCAACCATGTAGTTTCTCAGACAGAAGCATAGCAATCTCCAAATAGTTATAGAATAACCCATTAATTAAGATGGCAATCTCCATTCTTTTGATCAGTTTTCTCAGAAACCAAACAGGAAACCATAATCCAAGAAAGTGGGAAGCTGCTAGCTAGCTGTGCTTTATTTTTATAACCACTTACCTCTTTCAGAAACTTTGCATAGTTCCCAAGTAAGAGGCCATTTCCCGGGTCAGCTTGAATCATCTTCTGATAATAAGCATCTGTGCTCCCACTCCCATGATTGTTACCCTCAAAGAAACCAGACCCCCCTCCATCTCCACCGTCCGATCCTTTCCCGCTACCACTACCACCACATATCTTACCACCATTACTTCCCGCACCACTACCCAAAACTAGTGTCTGCAAACCATCGTCTTCTTTCCCCACAGCAGAGTCTTCATCATCCATGAGCTTCGCACCCAAACCAGAGCTTGAGAACAACCTTTGGGTCGCAGATGAAGATATTGATCTGGGTTTTAGCTCTTCTTGTTCTTCAACATTCTTGGCCTTGGTTTTAGATTTCTTTCCAAGGCTTAGAGGTATGGGGTTCTTCTTTTTGGGCTTAGGTTGGCTTGGGATGTCTGCTTCTAACAAGACTTGGGTTGTTGTTTTCTTTGTTGGGTCGATTGAAGTTGAGTGAAAAGAAGATGATGATGACAAGGAAACTGACCTGGTTCTAGTGAGTAGTGGCTCTGGCTCTGGTGAGGAGTCTTTTGAGTGGGAAAGCCATGAGTTCAAGATCGGAGCTGAGGAGCTTCTAAGAAGCATGCTTACGGCTTAACAAAGGTACAACTAAAAAAGGTTCTTCAGATATATTATATATATAAAGGAAAGTAAAGAAGTGCGGACTGCAGAAATGGTGGGAAGAGGAGAGAGAGGGAGGGAAAACCTCACTCCCTTGGAACAGTAAACTGCTAAAGCACCTTTAAAAAGAATAAATATTCTCTACCACCATTGTTTTCATCATCACAAAAAAATAAAAATAAAAAGTTTTATTTACGAAGGCAATTTCCTTTTCTTTGAGATACCTATCATGTTTATGTTGTTAGACAATACGATATTTTTTTCGAGAAAAAGAAAAGAAAAGAAAATAAGGATATTTTCTCGTCAAATGGTATACATTGTATGGCTAAACATTTAGACAATAATTCATCAAGAAGGTATATAGTTTAGGTTAACAATATGAAAATATGACATATTAGGTTGTCTAATAAGACGACATTTCTACTATTTACAATTGTCTTTAACTAAAACCTTATGTGCAAGTGCAATGAGCAATTGGGCAAATTGGGAATCAAGTGGTAGGCGACAAAGATACAGCCGCTGCTGCAGCAGTTGATGGTTCATGAATCATGATAGTGTGGTGTGGTGTGGTGTCTTCACCGTATAAGCCCACGGGCAATGGCCAAAGTACACTAATTCGACCTCTGCCTAAGTTAACCAACATGCTGACTGCGACTTCACGTGAAGGGTAGGACTCACCACTGCCGTTTTATTCGATTCCTTTTCTGCTTTACGATTGGTGTGTGATTGGACGGTCCATATTTCGCTTTCGGAAGTGACCAAAATGATGTCGTTTTAGCTTTCTTTTTTCCCTCGTTTCCTCGTGTTGCGGCACTTGTGCAATTGCATGGATTGATCATTGATGGACCTTCTTAGTTGAAATTGAAAGAAAGAGAGAAAATTGGACTTGACTCCGCGGATATTTTTAAAGTTCTTTAGATGAATATAATGGTTAGCATTCTTTTAAATGCATGTAAATGCACTAATGCTAAATCTAGAGGCTCGGGATTCCTTGTATTATTATTAAAATTATACAGGGACTCTGTCAAGACCTGTAAGTTAATCGAATCCAACATGTCCACGCAGAAGCAGACTTCGTTGCAGATACCTTGGCAATGTAAGAACATGATCGCTCCCAACCTTCTATTTGGTCATCTAATTTTCCCTTTTCAGTGGTTTGTAAAGTTCTGTATGATTTTCGGCTTTTAGGAATGTAATTTGTTTTAGACTTCTAAATAATAATAATAATAATAATAATAATAATAAAGTTCTTGTATTATTAGTGAGAAAGGCAAATCAACATCAACACCTACAATCCCATGGCGCTTTTAGCTTGTTCTGGAGACAATGGCAAGCACTAAGCCAACCTCATTGAGTTTGGTTGATGATAAGCCAGAATGTAACCCAAGAATCATTCAACATATAAAACACCACGTGAAAAACCAAAAAGAAAAGAGAAACATAAGTGTACTAACCAACTCAACCATTCCAGTACTTCGAGGCAGACTGCGCAATAGCAATTTCATCAATAATTTTTACTACTTAAAGTGCAGGATACAATCAAGGGTTGAACTGTAACTCAGCATGTGTTGCCGCCGTTCGGGTGAGGACCATGAGGTGCCACCCGAACGTTCTCTGGGGACTATGTGATTGATACATGTCATATTCTGCACATTGCATTTCCATTTTCGGCCTAACCTCATGACAAATTATGTATGTACTATAATATCATGCACAAATAGGACATGACTGACAGACAAGAAGCACAAGCACATCAATGCATTTCCCGCGCCTATTTAGAGCTCTAGAACCTTACTTCACAAGAATAATGAGCTTCTCAAATTTGAACTACTGCAGTAATCGGGTAACAGGACTATAACATACATCGGAGGCATGATTAAACTCCCCGATGCAGTTTCTGCTTTCCCATTGCAGTTCTCTCTACCAATTTCGACAGTAACTTTCCAGAGTAACTCTATTGTCAAAGTTAATTCAAGAAACCTAAAAGGCTTTGCTACATTTGACTTGGTATATAATCTAAACCACACATCTCATCCCTAAGTTCTTGGTATACGATTGCATTTGATAGAAACTCAAAACGGATCTACTAAAATTTCCAGAAATTGCTTTCATGTGCATTAGGGGTTGGCCTGCCTAAAATAATGTATCTTCGGTGTGTTAGTTAAAACTCACATACAAGCCCATTGAGGACAAGAAAATCAAGGGCCGCTGCTTATTCATCCTTTGATAATTACAGCATTTGAAACTAAATTTTGTGTATGTCATCTAGCCCACTAGTACTTATCACAAGAAGTTGCTCCTCTTTTAATGTATAGGCTACTACTACCCATCCAGTCTATCATTATATACAAAAATGCTTACTGGGTCATTTTCTAAATCGTGAGCCCTTGTTTGGTCGACTCCTTTCATCCCATACAGAAGCCCAGAAGAAAAGAGACATCCAAAAAGAACAGCAAAAAAGATCTGCACTTTGTCCTGAAACTTGGAGAAAGATGCTACAAGACCTGTTTCAACAAAAAGGCAAAGGAGACCAGTGAGAGACTTTGGGTCAGCATTTTAGACAAACTGCACCTAAGCAAGGAAAAAACAGTGTCACAAGATTCTGACAAGCTTGAATAACTATAACATATGTGATAGACAAGTAGTTCTATGACCAGATGTGAACATGTATAAGCTTTGCAAAAGTGAACATGTAAAAGTATGCAAACAACATTACAAATTAGATATACATTTGTTAGGAGAAGAAAGGGAAGGCGAGAGTGGAGGTGTGGGAGTGAGTTTCCATCAACCAAGTATTTCATAATCCACAACTAATTGATTTACTTATTGCAACATATATACATCACCCAAATTCTCTACCTAGTTGCATTTATTTTCATTCAAAACATAACTCACTTGTTGGCTCTCTTTTGTGACCTTATCTTGTTCTGCCATCAGTGGCCTTATATACAAATGAAACCTCCATTCTTTCAATAAGCAGTACACGTACAATTCCATTTCTATCATTACTTTTTCTTTTAGAAATTATAACCGATCGCAATAACTTATAACCTAAACTACCATGCAGCTCAATCAAAAAAGTATTTATAAAAAATAGGCCCTGGACCCAAACTATTAACTCAAGCCTCAGATCTAGAAACCCAAACTCAAACTGTGAACCCAAAACCCAGACAAACCAAACACAACAGATGCGAGATTCATTCAGCTATTCTTTTCTCAAACAGAATGGTATCAAAGCTGCAGCCCAACGACAACTTTGAGTCACTCTTTGCGTCAATTTTCTTGAAGATTCTCAGTCTTTGTTCCCAAACAAACATGTCTTCCACTCAAACTTCAACTATTGCTATCAAATATCTGCAACCTCATTCCATCAAGATTAGATTCCACGAACTTTGAGACATGGAGATAACAGATGGAGTACTGGTAAAGTATTTGACCAAAGAGTGGCTGAATGAATCTGTCATTAATTAGGATTACAGCAATAGCCTCATTATTACAATGGCTTACAATCAGTTTCATCACCACAACTAATCTCAAATGAATATAGCCCTATAACTTATGATAATATTACAACGTACTTTAGTCACTCACTATAACCAACCTTAGGAAGCTAAGATTGATGCACTAAACCTTATGCTATCTATCCCTGGGACTCCTTACTCCGGATCAAACCGGCTCTATGAATTCAGAATCTAATTTTCATAGTATAAATAGGTTAGCCAAACAAGAATACAAGCCCCAAGACTTATATCTCATCTGTACAATCTAACATGTTGGTAAAATGTTATCGATTTATAGAAAAGATGGAAATGATGGTTGATAAGTGTAGGAATGTTAGTTTCAGCTTAAGGAATGGTACACTTTTACTACTCTAAACATCAAATAACACGCCAGGTAACATAAAAGTGCAAGTAAGACACTTGAAAAAAAATTGAACTTTTGCCAATTGCAATATACAAGCACAGAACCCCAGCTCAACAACCACAGCACAACACATAATAAGCAAATATCAATACCACAAATTTCATTCATTCTCATATATATATATATATATATATATATATTAACAATAACAAAATTGAACATCTTACTCTCAAAATTAACCCTAAGACCCCAATTACAATTCCAAATTTCAAATATAGCAGCTCAATTCCATGGAAACGAAACTATCGGGTCTTAATTCTACGAATTATAAGAAATATGAGTATGAGCAATACCTGTGAGGCTAGTGGAGTCAGATTCTGGGGGAGGCAGAGGCGGCCCGGAATTGGCGGCAAAGCAACGGCCGGGACTAGAAGGAAGAGCGACATATGGACGGCGGGGATGAAGCGGGAAGGGGGAGGAGCGATTGGAGGAGGCAGGAGGGGTGAAGTGATGGCGGGTGCAGGGGATTGAGAAGGAGAGGAGGAAGAGAGAGTTTGGGAGGGGGAGTGGTAAGTATGGTGTTGAGGGAAGGAGAGTTGCTGCCACTGCCATTTTTGGGAAGTTTGGGAATTTTGTTTGGTGTGAATTTTGAGCCAACTTTTATATTGGTGGCAGAGGCCTAACTGGGGCTTGGGGCTTCCTCACTATTGGGCTAAATTTCATTCTAAGTTTCAAACTTGAGGCCCAAAATAAAAACAATTATAACAATATTTTTTTTTCATCTCCCCCGTCGTAGATTACAGTAGTTTAGAATATCGTTTTGTAATTTAGAAAAAATAGGTATCTTGTTAACATTAGTGTCATATTATCAAATGATAAATTTTCACACACGAAAAAACACTAATGGGTAATGATTTTCCCACTTCAATTTTATTCACTTACACTCCTTTTTTAGTTATAAAATGGAGTATAAGTGGATAAAATTGGAGTGGGGAAATTACCACTCATAATTTTTAGGCCGTTCATAAATTATTCATGCAAAAGTTAGCAAAATGAAAAACCGATTAACCATTTCATTATCTTCAAAACTATTTCAATTTTAATCAACAACATTGTACTTATTTGTTTAAATTATAAAATAACATTGTAAGATGGGCCCGAATGAGTAATTTGTGTCACATTAAATAGTGGTGTGTGTTTAATACTTGGTCTATATCAAACATACAAACTATACCAATACTAAGTATACCATGATCTTGCTTACAAAACTTAACATTTGATCATTTACATATACATGGGCCAAACTTGAGTAATTAATACTTTGATGATGTTCCCAGTTTCAAGTACCATGACATTTCAAAGTGTGAATGTAGACAAAATGCTTACTTTTGAAGTGTTGTCTTTTCAATTGTACACTGTACACTGGTTGCTTTTATGAATTTTCATCAGCTGCTTAAAGCATGACATCTCACTGTTTTGGTACAAATAGTTAGGTGCATACATCTGAACCTTTTATTTTGGTAAAAAAGACTGTTAATATGGATATGACATACATGACATCAACACAGTGATGTACTGTTTTGTTAGTGCATGCAAACATCAGTTGCACAAGAATTCATGAAAACAGAAAAGAAAAAAAAAAGAAAGAAAGAGGAAGCCTGTAAAACAAAGCAGCAGCTGATACTGATAGATAGAAATTAATATATAATTAATCAGTATCTACAAACACATAACAGGTGCACAATGCACATCTAAATGATTGATTTCTAAACTCCTTCTTTTTTTCTTTTTTTTGAAGTCTTATCTTTTCAGAGCACACCATGCATGAGCTAGAGAGATCAGACCTCGACAGCTTAGGAAGAACAGAAGGTTCACCTAATAATAAGTATATATATGCTAGTTTATATAAAGGGACATGTGAAGAATAAGAGATCTCAAGGTTGAAATAGCTTATTTCCACATCTGCATTTCCATGAGAGCAAATAATAGCTGTCATCTTCTTCTCCATGAGATGACAAGCTGAAGCGCTTTGTTTTGTGAACTGGGATGACCAGAGTAGCAATGCAAGGCCTGCAATTCAAGCACTTGTTTTGACATCCAGGAGGCCTTGAACCCAAAACCATTTTGCTTTGCCTGAATTCATCATCATCACTCTCACTGTTGTTGCTTGAATGCAGAGAATCCACTGGCAATGTTCAAAGCAGAACCAAAACACAACATGAAAAATGAAGAATGCTAGCTACTTATTCAAAAGCCATAACTCAAATAATCTAAGTCTTGGTACTATCTAAATAATAAAAAACAGAAAACAGAACAAGAATTTTAATTAGAGAGGTTGGTTTTGAGGACAGTCAATGAATAAAACACAACCAATTTGAAGAACTCAATTTGTATTTTCAACTTTTAATGAGAACAGAAAGCTCCAAACACAAACAATTGAAAAACCCAATTTGTATTTTTCAACTTTCAATGAGAACAGCAGGCTCTAAACAGTCTTTTATTAAAGTGGGGTGGTTTAGTTTAGTTTTTTTTACCTGATTTGGGAAGCAGAATTGTAAGCAAAAAGATGGAAGCCACAGTGATTATTGCAACTTTGAGGCCATGTACATGGTAGCTTCTGCTTGCAGGAGCCATCAGATGATCAGTCTTTGAAGGATGATGATGCTTCTGATGTTTGTTACAGTGAAGAAAGGGGGATGATGCTGTGCAAGAAGCACAGGAGAAGAGAGGATTGGTGGTTGACTGAGGAAGAGGCTCAATTAATGGAAGCTATTTATATTATTTTAGACATGGTGGAAACAAATGCTGTTTCTTTTCCACACTACATTTCTCTGTAGCCCATGTCTTGCATGCACCAATAAAAAGACTTTGATTTTGTGGAAAATGTAATTTTTTTGGGTCATTTTGGGGACTGTTACCCCTGACACAAGGTTTTTAGTGAAGGAGTGAAGCGACTATTTGACGATCTTGGGATAGGCCACTCGGTTAATCGATTGTCTTGTAAGTGGAAACACTCATCCACCAAAATGCCCTTAATTAGCTTTTTTTTTCTTTTTCTATTTTTGCATATCTGAATTTTAAATTTTGATGCATAAATATTTATCTTAAAAAGACAAAAAAAATGAAATTTTCTTGGTCATTCTTAGTCATAGAAGCGTTTTTTAAAGAAGCACCGGTTATATGCTTCTTTAAGAAACTCTCCTAAGATCTTTTTCAAAAAGCACTTGCATTTCTTATGAGTATAAATACTTCCTAAAAACATTCTCCGAAACAAGCCCACCATTACTCTCATGTCTGATTCTTTATTGGTTTTTTAATTCTGCAAGGACCTATTTCCAGAATTATTACAAAATATTCGATGCAGCAAAAATGCTAGCTAGCTGCATTCAATTAATTATGGTATGGAATAATAGAAATAGTCCAAACACTTCCTACAGTCAATGGTTGTCTCTTTCTGTTTGGTGATTGAAAAAGCTGATTGGATTGCCCAATTTTTTACCATTTGTGGGTACGAGGGGAGAAGAGAAAACAAAGTAGAAGATGCGTATTTTGGATAACAACACTCAACAGTAATATCTTATGAAGTTTTATGTACACACATCATATATATGTCAGCAACAAAAGTATATACGCATCATATACAAATCCGTATATACAAGTATATATATATATTAATTATTATATATCTCGATTATGTATGTAATTTACAAATCTTTTTTTTGAAGAAAAAAAAGAGGATGCAACATGAGGACTTCCCAAAAAATTTACACATTTTTTTAACCTTTTATGCATGTATACAAATTGTACCACGGCGTCTTGATGTTCATCTCTCATTGGCTAGATGTTTCACTTCTATACGAGCAAGTAAAGAATCTCCATATTGATGACATCTTTGCCAAACATAAAACCAATGACTCACCCATAGTTAATATTGGAAAATGAAGTTGAAAACGAGAATGAGGATAACATATCTAATGGATGACTGACTGAGATTAAAATTCATGAGCTAATCCTTAACATCGCTATTAAGCGACCTTTAAACTAAGATTATAAACTTTTTTTTCAATACTATGGAAAACCCTGCAATCCAGAACCTTTAGTAAACTCAAATACATATGTAAATTATGTGTATCAGGAAAATTCAGATGATTTTGCGTTGGTTTCTTAAAGAAGCAAGTTGAAAATATATCAAACAAATCAAATCACCAAAAGAGAAAGTGCTTTTAACGGACTGTTTTAGAGCAGCGTGTAGGAGAATCCAAGTAATAACTGATCACTGCAATAGACAACGTGCAAGCTATAACTGACCTTGTAAACCCTCCAGATGCACACTTTGGTAAAAGCAAACACCAAACAGTTCTAAGATTTTTCACCAAAAAAAGTAGACACCAAACAGTTCTTAAGATTTAAGAAAGCTGGAGGACCTGAGGTTTTTCGTTGCCTTTTTACAGCTTTTAGACTTTACTTACACAACAAGAAGAAGGAAAATTAAGTACTGCCTCTTGGGAAACCTGCAATATTTAACCTTTTCTTTCTTCTATTTCAACCTTCTCACTTTTCCAAAGAACTTGTTTGAAAAACTTTGCCATCTTCTCTTATCCCCAAAACCTATAAAAGTAAGAAAAAAGAGAGAGAAGAAGAAGAAGCAACCATGTGAGTGTGACAAAAAAAACACCTCTATTCAATTTAGAAAATCCCTGCTCTTATAGCCTCAAGTTAAAAGAATGTTCCAAAAAAAACAAATTTTTTTTAGGGCATTTTCTATCGAGAGGGACAATAGTATACTAAACTCACACACACTACACGAAAGTTAAGACTCGAACACTAATATAATGATGAATTGGCAGTTAATTTTGCTGGTTTTCGATCAGCAAAATATATATAATTAAAGATTTTTCCCCTTGCAGCGTTGCAGCAACTACATATATGCAAAAGGACATTGTTCCTCATTAAATTCAAAACACCAATGAAAATGGTAAAGAAAGTGAATTGTTATTCTTGGTCAATTTTCCATAAATGGCAGTCTTACATGAATTGTACAAAGCACCAATTCGGGGCACATAATAGGTCTCCTTTCTCTCAGAGTTGGCCCCAAATGATCGGCGCGATTCTAGCTCCTCAAACAAATCTACCACTTTCTCCTTTTTGCTATAAGCTCTTCACTCTTGTACCCACATTTTGCACTTATAAATAAATATATATGGCATGATTCATGAAGGAGAAGACTCAAACATTGACAATATTGGGTGAGAGTAACTACGACTATATAATCCTTTATATATAAGATACTAAACTTGTCCACTACTAGGCGATGCATAGAGAAAACTCACATGTACTTGTTATGTACAATGAATTTTTCTTTATTTTAACATTACGTGACATCTCTTACATCGCATTAGAGAGATTCAGAAACATCCAGTTTATATAACCGGAATAGTCAAATTTTTCTCGTGACACACAACAGTAGAGATTATAATAACATCCTATATGTTAGGAGTACATAAGCTCAAAATTATGAAAGATGAACAAATAGAACACAATCATGTCAGTTTGGGATCAAAATATTTAGAGCAAAGTTTAGGGCCTTTACTATGATGTAATTGTCTTTCTATTCTCGTGGTATCCTTGACTTCGGATGTTTGTAATACTACACTGAACATAAAATTCAAGATTATAAAATGATTTATGCTTCTGTAACAAAAAAACATATATATTTTTTACCCTAAAAAGTAAAATGTAAGGAAGACAAGACAGATGCTATGTCTTTTCACATGTAGTTGTACTTGATACTGTTCAAATCACAAGCATAACGTCATTCGGGTTACTTTCTTTCATCTTTTTCTTTCTTTCTTTTTCTTTTTCGCGTTTTAATTTGAACAAGCAAAAGTGGCATTTGTCAAAGATTTTAAATTGGACCAGGAGACTTTTACGTTTCCAATTAAAGAAATTCTATTTCATTTACTCTTCCAAGGGTGATGTTCGTGTACAGAGTTGACACTCCTGGGCACCAGAGGATTTGTGTGTTCTTGAGGAAGCAAAAAGCTCTTTTGCAACAGCGGCTCAGTATCAATTTCGGCCTCCCACTTGTAACAGTGCGGCCTCTGTCAAAGCTTTCAAATTTTGCTCTTGATTGTATTGGTAGTTTTTGTTTTATTTGGGGGTATTATTATTATGTTGGGTTATTTACTTAAATAGTCATTAAATTTATACCTGAGTTATATTTTAGTCCCTTAACTAAATTATTTGTTCAAATGGTCCAACTAACTCGTTATTAATCGGTGCATTGGTTCTATCGTTGTATTCTATCAACATTACAGTCAAATATAGAAATAAAATAGTCTGGTTAAATAAAATAGTAAATAATTAAATACTAAAATCAAAAGAAAAAAAACCTATCTCCCTCTCCCACCTCCCAGCTCCAACGCCCCATCTCCTTCCCACAGCCCACCCTCCCTCCCCGTCCCCTATTCCTCTGTCCCTCTATCTTCCTCTATTTCTACCTTCAAACTTTTATTGGGGCTGCAAGGCTCTTGGTTTATTCAGAGAGAGAGAGCTCTCACCTCCTCACTTTGAAGGTGTGAAACAAAGATAGCAGAAACAAGTAGTGGATTTGCAGCATGAGTCTCTGGCCTTTTCCCCCACAAATAAAGAAAATTTTGTATTAATTTTGTATCTTTTATTTTTATTTTTTTAGTTGTTAAAAGTCTTATTTACTCCCACAAATGTAACATGTGCTCACATGACTAAATTTAACAAAAAATGTAACGGTATGACCAATGTACCTATTCATCAAGAGTTGATGGACCATTTGAACGAATAATTTAGTTGAAAGACCAAAATGCAACTCGAGTATAAGTTTAAGGACCATTTAAATAAATAACCTTTATTATGTTTTTCCTTGACCGTCACTTTAGATCATTTGTATGTTGTATATTAAATATATAAAATATAGCAATAGCTTGAGAGAAATCGAAACTCTATTTCGCTTTCAAGTATTTGAGCTACAAACTCCTTACACCTTAATGTTATTTTAACTATAGCTAACATCATTTCACCCCTCGAGTTTTGAGGTGATTTTCAATGTGTCACGAGGTTTCAATTTCATCAATTTACACCCTAAACGTTATTAAAAGTGACCAATTTACATCATCCGTTAAGTTGACTGTGGGATCAACATAATAGATGACATGAATATTGTGGGACCTACCTCTTGAATTGGCTGACCATCCCCTTACAAAAACCTTAAAATCAATTACATAAAATAATAAAATTCTCTCTCTCTCTCTCTCCCCCCCCCCCCCCCCCCCCCCCCCCCTTCTCCTTCTTTCTCACACATTAGGGGTGGCATTTTAGACCGAAAAACCGCAAAAACCAACCGACCAATTTACTGCAATGGAACCTCAATCGCGAGAAACCGAACCGCATTTACGGTATTTGATTTTCAAAACTTACGGTTACCGCAAACTGCGATTATATTTAATAAATAAAAAATTGCATTTTGTAGATAGCATTGGTCCTCAAACAACACAACGAGGTCCTTCAAATCCACTCACCACCACCAACACTTGAGTTTGTAACTTTAATTTGTAACATTGGTGCATTACATTTTCCTTTTAGTTTGTAACTTTAATTAACTTTGAATTGGATTTTTTCTTTGGGTTGTAACTTTAATTCATTTTGCATTACATTTTCCTTTTGGTTTGTAACTTTAAAGGATTTGGAATTGGAATGCTTGAGAAGTTGAGGTTGTAAATGCTTGAGAAGTTTAACTTTAATTGGAATGCTTGAAATTGTAACTTTAATTTTCTTTAGGTTGTGAATGCTTGAGAAATTGAAGAGGTTGTGAATTTATATATGCTTGAGAAGTTGAGGTTGTGAATTTATATTTTTGGGTTAAAGTATGCTTGAAATCAAAAGGCTGCAAAAGAAGCATCAAATCAAAATTAGGCATAAAATGTGGAAGATTGGATTTTTATGACACAAAAAGAACTTGGGGTTTTAAACCGCTAATTCACGGTAACCGACCGCTTTTTGCAGTTTACCAAACAATCGGCTTGTGATTTCAAAAATCATCATACCACAAATAGTCGGTCGGTTTGCGGTTTGGGCAAAAATTCGCGGTTACCGAACCGCAACCACCCCTAACCACGATGGTGCCTTTATCGGCTTTTGGAACCGCGGCCACCACGACTGCTGAAGCCAGAGCTGCGGCGGGGACGCCGAGCTTGTCTTAGAGGAAGTCGATGAGGATGCGATCCTCTTTGAGGGTGAGGCTGGAAATGTCAGGGCCGAGCTTCTCAAACTTCCCAGGGGCTGCGACGGCCGCTAAAGAACGGGGCTAGGGGCTTCTCGATCTTATTATTTCAGCTTGCCTCTCTTTATATTAAAGATTTATGTTAGTTGGTAGAACCAAAAACTAGATTAATGGTAGTTGTGATGTTGAAGCTAAAGAGGAGGCAACCATTGTTGTGGCGTGGATTTGAGTTTTGGGTCTGGGGTGGTGTTTGAGCTGGAGAGAGAGAGAGAGAGAGAGAGAGAGAGAGAGAGAGAGAGAGAGAGAGAGAGAGAGAGAGAGAGAGGTTGTTTGGGAGGCCAATGGTGATGTGGCTAGATAGGTTTTGTTTTAAATTAATTTTATTATTTTATGTAATTGATTTTCAGTTTAATTCGGCATAAGTCCAATTCTTATGACTGAATTTGGGTGCAATCCACACGCTTGTTGTTAGTAATTCAAGTCCTCTGACTTTTGTGCCATGTAGGATTACTTACCTTTTTTTAAGTTATGAGGTTTATATTTTATTTTCTTAATTTTTTAATTTATGTTGTGCTTCCAATTTTGCCCCTAAGATATAAATCAGGTAACCTGAAAATCAGCAAAATCGCGATTTGGATGTTAAACATTCCTCATATATCGACCCATCCAGCCCTGTTTAAATACAAACAAACCAAATTACAAAATAAGAAACCTTAATAACAAGAGCAAATACCTGTGCTCCAGATATATACACATTTGACTCACAATTTCAAGTATAATACATGACACAATGAAACTATGCACACAAATGATGATTACAGAAGTTGGGTTCAAAAGCTGCAGGTGAAAAAGGTCCTCCATCATTTATAGGTGAAATATGCACTATACCTACAGCCCCTATAAGTCGTATAGGTAATCTGAGACACTATACCTATACATAGATATATGCCACAGATATAAGTCGTATAGGTAATATGAGACACTATACCTATACCACATATATAAGTCGTATAGGTAAGCTGAGCCCCTGTAAAGTACCTGTGTCGTAGGTACACACTCAAGAGGTTTCATGTAGGTTAGGTTCTACGTGAAGTGAGAAAGACCCTAAACCCTAAACAATCACTGTCATTTCAGCCAAATGAAAGGCACACAGCGTGGGCATATAATGGGAGATTCTTGGTTAGAAGCTCATGAGAAATACAAGGACTATTGTGCAGCCTCTCTACTTGAGAGAAAGCTAGGGAAAGCTTCTGCTTCTTCTAAGCCAGAAGGGTTTAATTTCATTTCCTTTTGATCAACAGGATTTGGATAACAAGCTGCTCAAGGCATTCAATAAGGCTTTTCATGAAAGGTACAAGAAGCACTCTAATTGGGTCATATATGATGAAAGCTTGAGTACTGAAGTTGCTTTATCTAATGAATAGACATGAGAGAGATAGCAAAAAAACGCAAAATCCAAAGGCAATAGCCAATTTTTTTTTGCTAACAAACAACAATCTACAACGTTGACAATCTTAAATTGTTAATGAAGATTCAGAACAAAGAATGCACGGCAACTGAAATAGAGAATGGCAAACCAAAATACAGAATGTTGAGGATTTTCCGGCAATGTACCTACAACATAGGTACAGTTCCAGAGATTACCTACACAACAGGTTCTAGTTTAGGAAAACCCATAACCAATTTGCAGCAAAACCATTCACCAATTATTTGAGATATAAGATAAATTCATATTGAACGTACGATTCAGATTATCACCATGATATCTCAAACCATGTAAAAGTGAAAAGTTATTGTGCACAGATACAAACTATTCAACACTCAATTCATCACCCTTGCAATCGACAATTGCCCGAATCTCCCCTAAATACACCATAACCATGTCTTTTCTTTTCGTAAAGGGGATGCCAAAACAACCAACAGACTCTCAGAAAGCATCAGGCACAAAACGGAGCAGAAAAGTATGAACGTAATTAGAATGAGAGAATTTACCTGGGATACAGGAACTTCAACTGACGCCACAACTGATGATAATCCAAAAAATTCAAGTTATTCCATATGCAATATTGAATCATATGCAACCAAAAAATCTTCCCATTACGGAACCAAAAAATCAGTGAAAATTGGCAAAGACGGAGCATGACTTTTGGGATTTTTGCTATTTGGGGGCTCTAAGAGCATCTCCAACTGATGTGTCAAACGTGCCACATAGACATTTAATAGTTATAAATAACATCTAATATCACTCCAACCGATGTGTCAAAGCTGATGTGGAATGAAGTCTGGAGGTTGAGATGTTATTTTTGACATCCCAAAAGCAAGATGTCAAATGAATATTTTATTTTATTTTTCTTTTCTTTTATTTTTAACTAAAAATGAATCAACACTAAAATGTAATAAAATAATAATTTAATTTGACTTATCAGATGGAGTGTAAAGCTGTGTAAGATGTCAAATTGTCACATCAACCATCAAATTTAAATTTGATGTTTGGTATTTGACATCTCCCTTGGAGATGCTCTAAGATATGCGATTTGGATCTACCTCCTTTACTTTCCGTTTGTGTATAATAGCAGGAGTTGTAAATACATTAAAATTGCTAGCCAAACAATTTGCTTAGGTGGCTGCGTTACTGGGCTTTAGGACTGGAATTAATAGGTAACAAATACTGTCATGCAATCAAACTGCATTGTGAAATTGGACCCATATCTAAGAGCCCCTTTTTTTTAAAAGGAGATTGGTCAACCAATTCATGATGTGGGTCTTATAATATCCACGTCATCTATTCACGCCATCAATTAACATTTGACCAGACAGTCAACTTAATAGAAGATGTAAATTGATTATTTTTAATATTGTTAGGGTGTAAATTAATGAAATTAAAACCTCGTACCCCATATTAAAAATCACCCCAAAACTTGAGAGAGTGAAATGATGTTAGCTCTTTTAACTACGAACAAACGAATCAAAAGGGATTTTCTTTTCAATGACAAAAATCTCATCATTTGACTTCGGACCAATATTAAACTACAAGGACAAAAATGGGGATAAACTACATGGACCCATTAGTGTTATTTGACCTTAAAATAACTGAAAAGTTACGAAGTGAGTCAAGTGAGCTCTCCTCCTAAGCATGGCATGTTTAGTAGAGGAAGACTATAAATTGGATTACTATCATTTGTCCGAAAAAAATGAAATTGTCTATTACTATCATTTGTCCGAAAAAAATGAAATTGTCTTTTTGCGTTGTCGTCCAAGGGAGAGGGATTTTTCTCACAAACATATCCACCGTTGTGTAACATAACACGTTGGTGTTGCGTCGCTAAGTGCTGGTGGATTTCGAACCTGAAACTATTGATCTGTAAGTCAAGACTATTTTACTCAAACACTGTTACCGATGAATTTCAAATCTGAGATCACTGATCCACAAGTCAAGACTATTTTACACTAAACTAAACTCCATTGGCAGAAATTGCCTTCATTTTGAGGCTTCCGACAAATAGCCCAAAAATCACATGCCAAGAGGCCCAAAAAAATATAGTTTAGCCCAGTCAGCTAGCTTGACCAATCTGCACATTTGCAGAATTCTTCCTCACAAATTTGTATTTGTTATAAAATATAAAATTATGTTATGAAAAAGCAAATCGAAAAGAAATGCAACACAATTTTTTTTATTCATCTCTCATATTCAAGCATTAGATTTCATTCACATGGAAAGATCAACATCCATCTCAACATGAACAAATACATGCATAAACACACACATTATATATAAATATATAGAGCCTCAAAAGATCGACCAGATTCCCATCATTGTACGTTCACCTCCTTCACATCCTTCTTTGGCTTCTCAGTTCTAGGAATGGTGATGGTCAGAACCCCATCCTTCATCTCTGCCTTTATATCATCAACTTTGGCATCATCAGGCAGCTGGAGGGTGGTGTCATAGTAGCCATATCTCCAACCCTCCGATCCTTCTTCCTCCTCTTCTTTGTACTCTCCTTTGATTTCCAAAAACCCATCATGAACAATGATCTTCACATCCTCCTTCGCAAGCCCTGGCACATCATACTGCAGTTTGTAGCTGTCACTTTTCTCTTTGACACGCCCGGTGAGTGACCACGGTGATATGTTGAGGTTGTCAAGCAGCCTGTTTATGTTCTCTGTTGCTTGCACCAGTGCATTTCCAAGGCCCGAGGGAAAGAATTCTAAGAAGAAAAGAATATGTTAGCAAATTAATTCTCACTTTGAGCTTTGCTTGTTCAATAGTTTTAGTTAGAGTCACATTTGGGTCAAACTGAAAGTCGCGTCAAACTGTCAATCTGAATCACAGGTTTAAGAGTGCAAATAATCGATGATTCAGATTTATAGTCTGAAAATAATATACTATAATTAAATTGTACACTTGAACCTAATTAAATCATTAGGTTTAAACATGATAAAACAAGAGTCTAAAATGATCAAAGATCTAGATTATAAGGGAGTGAAAAAGTACCATAAAGGGCAGGAACGAAGTTTCTGTCACTGTCCCTCCAAAGTCCCCTCCTACGTTGCCTTCTAGGGAACAACCTAGACCTTTTACCTTGAGAAACAGCAACATCTTTGTTCTCTGATTTCTCACCAGACACCTTCTCATTAGCTTCTGTACTAAATCTCTTCACAATCTCATTGCCAACTCTGCCTCTGCTCTCAGCAACAGTCCTCTCATTAACACCATGCCCCAGCACAGAAGCAGCAGAAAAAGAAGCTGGAGAAAGCACCCTCCGGTGCAAGTTTTTCAAAGCGAAACGCGCCAAAGCCATTTCACAAACTTGGTTTTTGAGTCTCAAGAATTAGGGTTGTGTGTTTTTGTTGTAGGGCTGGTTTGGTTTGGATGATGTTGATGGAGAAAATGAAGGCGGATGGCTGTGAATTTAGAGAGGGTTTGTGCGTTGGGTGCTTTTAGTTTTGGACAATTGTAGAAAGGTCTGAGAAGTTCTGGTATGTCCTAGGTACAAGAGGACACGTCAGCAATTGAAGGTTGGTGATGTTCTTGATCCTTCTCAAACCTGCCAATGGATCAGATCGACTATGACCCACGAGGAATTTGTAGATTTTTCTTGAGGGAAATGCATCTAATGCCACGTCTTTTCACGTTGTTTACTTTGGTTTCTTTTGACATGTCACATTTACAGATTATATGGCATTTTTATCTATTTTTAATACAAACGATAATTTAAATTATAAGAGGATTTCTCAAACTATAAAAGTGTCATCATAAAAATGTCATAAGAATTCGAACATAAGAACATTAGTCTGCAAGTCAAATTTCTTTTTCACTAGGAAAGACCTTGTTAGCAATTATGTGGCATTTTTTTGTTTTCCACCAAATTGTGTAGCTTTCCAGTCATCCATTAGAAAATTAGGAAAAAGTTACCAAATGTAGAAAACTAAGAAATTTAGAAGGGTGGATGTGGCTGCTGCTTTTCACAAAAATCTCACGCAATGGAGACAACCATGTTAAACCACATATGCAAACATACACAAAAGAAGATTTTCTTTTTGTTCATTAGTACAAACTACAAAGGCTCATAATATTGTACGCCATCAAGCATGTGGTAAATCCTTATATTCATCTGTTTCTAAATATATTTCATTTTCGGTAAGGGAACCTATTTTTACCGTAAAGCTGATGTTCACCGCACAAACTCAAAAGACTAAGCACAAAATGCGGCATGTCAAATTATCACTGTGATGAAATTTTGCAAATAGAAGTCGAGAATTTTGCAAAACCGCCCACCGTGAATGGTGGCAGAAGCCAATCCTATAAATCAGTTTGAATGCAGTACATGGGCACATCTAAAAGGCCCGGGGAGTTAAAATCCAAGGAGAAGCAAGCAAAAAATGATGTTATAGTCAATGTACACGCCATGCTATCGCTTCCTAGTTGCTAGGAGGCAGTAAAAATGTCACAAATACTTGGATCAACTTCCGTAACTAGCCAACTTAAAAATCTCTAGTACCTCAGCTGCTCAATCGTACAACCCCTCTTGCTCCCAAACGTCGACAAGAAAATCTACCATTTCCTGTTAATATCAAGAGCAGCAAATAATTAGATAGTCTGTTTCCAAGGATTACAACAGGCCTGCAGAGGAAGAGAGACTCACAGGGAGAGGAATAGGCTGAGGGAAAGGCTTGTTACTCCCAAGTAAACTTTCATACGACGCATTCCAACTGCAAAGGCAGAACGATTTAACCATGCTGAGACAATGAGTGCTGACAAAGTACAGAAAGGTACTCATGAATACTCATTGCCTACTTTACAGAGAATGAAGTATGCAGTCAAAACACAATTTCCGACTTACCATGTGCAATGAAACTCGGACTGAAGAAACACAACATCGAAATTCTAACATTTATTGTTTTCTAATATAACAAATAAATATACTGTGAGAAAAAATTTCTTTTTGTCGGAAGTGAAAGACAGGTTGTTTGTATTCAATTGTCTATCAATTACAACAAAAATAGTGGATACCATGTATTAGGTTACGCCTTAAAAGCTAAATAGTTCTTTCTAGCGGATCTAAACATAAAAGGTCCACTAATCTTGAGTAGATAAAGGACAAAAGAAGCAACTTACCTTAATTTGGGTTCTCGAATTTGCTTTGCCGGGCTCTCAGACTTTTTATTCCCTACCCAACGCTGCCTAGTCTGGTTCCAGAGAAGAAGACCTGCAGCAGAGATCCCAAGTAAGATAACTTTAACAAGGCTCCACACACACACACATTTGCAAGGCAAGAAGAGCAATGGAAGAGAAAGATACGAATATAACAAAATGACTAGAACACAAAGTGATGTACGAGTCTTGAAATCATGGAAAATATATGAACTGTAAATTAAACCTTACAAGATCGTGTCTGCAAGGAGATCTAGTAGGCAAAAGTGCGAAACAAATTGGGAAACGGGCTGTTAGTAACACAAATTTTGATTGACTCCACTAAAGGTAACTATACTGCCAATGCAGCTCAGTCTTTAGGAATATCCATGAGGAGTCTGAATATGACCCACCTGATGGCGAGTTGATAAACCCAGTTTCCAATTTAACCATCTCAGACATATGCAAATGCAAATCCAACAAAGTTACTGAAACCTCAAATGGAACAAAGAACTTGCCATGATTTACAAACTCAGAAGGGGTGGTATTGCTGCCAGAGCCACCATGCGGATCAAGCGTCTGGTTTGTGCTGATTGATGACATGCTTCCTTGCGACTGAACTGCACTGTTGTCCATATCCCACGTGCTGGTGGTCCAGAAGTCCTCTGATATGCTTGGTTTATTTATTGTCTGACTTTCGTTTAATAATCCTTTTGGTGGCTCATTCACTGAATTTTTCAGTGTGGTCTTACCATGGCATGCTAGACAGCCACTGCTCTGTTACAAATCACATCTGATTCTGTTAGAAATCATGTATACTCGTATAATTTAACAATAACAACTAATACAAACTAAACATCAAATCCTATACAAAATCCTAGTCAAAGTCCAAGCAATAGTTTGGTAAAACCACCACCCTGAGAAAATTTCACCAATCAAAACTACAATTTTTTCCTTCGAAAAGATGAGAATCGCAATTGTCAATACAAAAGTAGTGTGACAAGTGAACCCTGAACAGAAAATTCCTTGAAAATAATTACAGAGGGGCTCAACATAAGCAGAAAACCACACAATGGCATCGCACTGACAGAATTCCAGCTCCTGGTGTCAGCACAAGTTATGAGTACTCAGCTAAACTTCTTAATCAGGATATGCTTTAAATCCAAATCCCAAAATCCAGTTTAACGAAGACCATTACGAAACAGCCCTATTAATAATAATCGGAGGTATGCATTAAATTAACCTCCTAATTCCAAAAGAAATGTTGAACCTTTGTCGCTTGGCATCTGAGGAATGTGAGCCTCTGCTTAAGGATACCTTACACAGAATTAAATCTAATTGAATTGACAATTTGATAGTTTTCTCTATCAAATCCAACAGTATACAATTCCCAATTTATCCTGTTTATTATTAGGCTAAGCTAAGTGGGTGAAATTCCTAGAAACTAAAATCCAAGTATAAACCCACAAATCCTATTTCCTATTCATAATTTCTCAACCCAACTATACAACCCATTTCCTCTTCTCCACCCAACAATCAAATCAATTATTGACACACAAAATTTAATCTAAATGAATTGACAATTTGATAGTTTTCTCTATCAAGTCCAACAGTATACAATTCCCAATTTATCCTGTTTACCTAACCATATACAATCATATTACTAGGCTAAGCTAAGTGGGTGAAATTCCTAGAAACTAAAATCCAAGTATAAACCCACAAATCCTATTTCCTATTCATAATTTCTCAACCCAACTTTACAACCCATTTCCTCTTCTCCACCCAACAATCAAATCAATTATTGACAAACAAACATAACGAATGAAGAAAACCCACATAAAGTCAAAACCAGATATCTCATTCATCCACACAATCTAATAAAATTTCACAACCCAGAAAAGGAATCAGAAAACTTACCCCATGCATGCAATACAGGAAATACCCAGAAAGCAATATCAGATCTACTGCGAGGATTTTCCCGGGAATGTAAAATCAATTCAGCAAAATCCGATGGAAAATTGATTACAGGAAAGAAAACCAGAGAGCCCTTCCTAAGAATCCAAACAAAAAACAAGAAAAATCGATCTCAATTCAACAACGAAACTCAACAAAACAATAAAGAACAACAGAGAGAGAGAGAGAGAGAAGTAAATCTTTGATGGCATAGAAACTGACCCGTGAGAAAATGTTTCTTTCTGTTATATTACTCTCGCCCTCTCGCTCTCAATCCTGAAATCAAATTCCAAAGGCATCCACTTCCTGAAGCAACGCCCAGAAGAAGAGATGGCCCTTTGGATTCTTTGAACTTTGCTTCTTCTTCTTCTTCTCTGGCAAATGGCAATTATTGGGAAGCGGAAGGGAAAGCTACGACTGAGATGGGAAGATTTATATAATGGGATTGGTTAGTGGTAAGCTTGGATTCTCACCATTTAATTATTTTGCGTGGGACTTATACCTTACCTGTTTTTACATTTTAGACCCTTGGTCAGTTACCCTTTTGTTTTTTGGTCAATCAGTTTCCCTTTTGTTTTCAGACAAAGAATTTTCTTAAAACCCAAAAAAGAAAAGAAAAAAGAAACAATCCATTTTCTTATAGGGATGAAAATTTAATAAATAGGAAATTACAGCTCCCTCCCCAACATTTTTCCCTCCAATGTCCACAGTTGTTTGGTGCTTTTCGAATGGCTAAAAGCACTTGTAACAGTGTTTATCAAGAAAGTGTAGAAGCGCTTATGGGTCATAGAAGCGTTTTTTCTTCAAGAAGCACTACTAATTGCTTTTTCAAGAAGCATATGAATTTTTTTATTAATGAAAATTCAAGATTTTGATAATAAAAGCGCTTTTGTTATAAGCGCTTATGAGCAGAAATAGTTCCTAAAGAAGCCATCTCAAAGGAGACCTAAAGGAGCACCGGTGTGTTGCTAGCCAATGACTCTTCGACACTCAAATTAGTAATTTTTGGAAGTGGTGTCAGTAATAGGGTGAAAATGGTTGTTGGGGCAATCTTGGTAATCTTGTAAATGACATTAGAAGACTTAGGCCATCTCCAGCCATGGGCTATATCCCAGATATAACCCTAAAATAATGCAAAACTCATCTCCAACCATGGGCTAAACAAAATTTTGGCCAAATTTGGAGGACCACATTTGGCCATTTAGCCCTCCAACCGGGCCACATGTAGCCCAGCTTTGGCCTAGGCCAAATTTTTTGTGGGCCCCATGCATGTGCTTTTAAATATTTTCAATTCACGTTGTTTAAGATAAAAAAGTATTGGTCATGACCATTGCAAGTCAGACCATTGAAAACCAATCTTTTTTTATTATTTTAAATGTGGTCACCTTTTTAAATGTCAATTCATGTAATTAAGAAAAAAATTATAAAAAATTATTAGTCTTGACCATTGGAGGTCAGACCATTAAAACCCATTATTTTTTAAATAAAATAAAAATTACATGTGGTCACCTTTTTAAATGTTTTCAAGTATTATTTTAAAAAAATTATAATTAAATTAAACAATATATAGTTGTGGAATGTATGAGTATTGTATCATAGTTTTTCTCAAAATAATAAAATATGAATGACCCTAAAATATAACAATGCATGGCTGGAGATGGAAAAATTTAACCCTACACTATTCTTTAAAAAATTAATATTTTGGAGGGCTAAATTTTTAGCCCTGGACTACATTTAGCCTTATGACTGGAGATGGCCTTAGAACCTGTTTAGGAATGCTTCTGAGAGGGGTAAAAGCAATTTTTGACAACCAAAAGCGCTTCTGACAGCATTTAGCAAAAAAGTTTAGAAGTGCTTTTGAATTATAGAAGCGCTTTCTGGAAAAACACATGTTATATCCTTCTTCAGGAAGCACTTCCAAGTGCTTTTCCAAGAAGCATTTGGATTTCTTATGAAAATTTTGCTATCTTTATGTACTTCTGTTGTTTCCAATCTCGAAGTAGCTTGGGAGTTGGTGCTCACATGATCTATGTTCAGCATTGGTCACTGATTCTTATGGATCATGTGGGTGGGATTCAAATGCATGGAGTTTTTATCAAAAATAGCAAAAATTTACCCCATACTTTCATAAGTGTCAGTTTTTATAAAACTTTCAAAAATAGCAAAAAACTCACCTAAAAATACTCAAATACCCTCAAAACTAAAACTCACATAAACCTAAAAAAGCAGAACATGGAAACATGCAATCTCTGTTTTCATTTGATTTCGAACATAAAAACTCCCCTATGTTAGTAACTATTGTCTATGTCATTGGGCTCGAAGCTTTGGTAGTATCTATTGTCGGCAGCCATGCTGATGTTATCACCCTTGGAGGCCACGCACAACTCTTCGTCAGCCATATATGGACTTCAAAGTTGCTAATTAGATTCCAATATGAACTTCAACATTGCGGAGATGGATCAATAACTCTACGAGTGCCTTGTTAAATATATAATACAAATATATGGCTTATTAGAGATAATTAAGTAATTAGATAATGGAGATGAAGGAGATCATAGAACAAAAGCTTTGCTCCAGCTCAATGTTGGGTGGATGCAGTACTCGTAGTACACTAGAACTCAATGCCACTTATAAATAATAACGGAGGGACTAGCTAGGAATCAAGTCATATTCATGGTTCAACTCCTCCAATGATATAACATGGCATCGAACCTTTGTTTTTATGTTTAAACTCAAATTGAAAACAGAGATTGCAGATTTTTCTTTTTAAGTTTTTGTGGGGTTTTACTTCTGAGGGCGTTTAAGTATTTTTAGATGAGTTTTTTGCTATTTTTGAAAGTTTTTATTAAAACTGACATTTATGAAAGTATCGGTAAATTTTGGCTATTTTTTATAAAAACTTAAATGCATGTGGTATGTTCTCACTCCTCTTATATTAAAAAGTATTTAAAAAAACAAAAGGGTTTCATAAAATAAAACAAAAACAAAAACAAAAGGGAGTGTAAGTGGAGAAATGGGTAGGGGGAAAATCAACACCCATATTTTATGGTTTACTATTAGCAATAACCCTCCTCTAGAGCAGCGTTCTCCATGTGTATCTTGTATTTGCCTTTCATATTAATGCATAAGAATTGGAGACTTGGGATTTTGACTGGTGGGGCCACACATGAGTAGAATATAATAGTAAATACATTACATTTATCTATCCAACTATGAGGTAGATTAGTCGTTATGTTGGTTAGAGCATCTAAAATCATGCTCTCTATTTTTTTAGAGAGCTACTAGGACTCATAAAACAATGCAGCATTAAATTATAGAGAATCACTAAGAGTCGCTCTCTCCTCAGATTTAGGAGCTCCTAGAAGTCTCCCCATTTTAGGAGGTAGACAGGGAGTATGGTTGGAATTATATTTTTCTAATTCCTCCCTAAAATTTGTCTAAGGAGGTGGCTTAGGGACCCATTGTGGAAGCTCTTATCCAATGGGTAATGCCATGCAGAATTTGAGCCAAACACTACAAAAATCATCAACTCAAGATCAATGACAAAACCTAGTAACAAACAACCTAAACAAATCAAATCAACATATAAAAATATAAACTATAGTGCAACACATAAAAATCAGTAGCCTAAAGAAATCAAAACAACAACTCAAATCAAAACGAAACATAATAAATTAAAAAATCAACAAAATAATACCAAAATTATAAACGAACAAGAGATTTAAAGTATTCATACCTATACAACAAATTCTACAAAAATCCCTAACCAAATAGCACCTCAATTTCAAATATGATAAATAAATAAAAAAGCTAAAGCAAAAACAAAAACTACATCAAAGAGTTGAAAAATCAACTTATAAAAACCGAAAAATAACTAGAAAATTCAAATAACAATTTGATCAAGAAAATACATACCTCAACAGCAGAAAAACTTAGCTTCACGTCAAAACATGAAAACTGCAATAGAAGAAGAAGTTCGAAAATTGCACTGCAGTTTCTAGAAAAACCAAAAGTTCTCATATTTAAGTGGGATTTTCAATTAAAAAAACGTAATCTTTCATGCTTCATTATTGAAAAACAAACTATATTTCATAATATAATATCTAATTATTAATGTTCATAAGATTCTACTTCCAATGCTAGGAAATAATAAAATAATTTAGCCAATTGTAATTAAATGAAAAATTCAATGTAGTGTTTGCCAAACTGCAACGTCGTGTATGTAAAACTGACATGCAGCACCTGTCAGAAAATTCACTGAACTATCTCTAACACAAGCAATCATAAACTGAATTCACACACAAACTTAGACCTCAAAATCAGTAATGTAGTTCATACCATAAACGTGAAATTAACAACTATATCTCCATTATAATTTGGTAGCCCAAAGTGTATTATTGAAGTGGTGGCAGTTTTTTGTCCACCTCTAAGTAGAACAGTAAAGAAAAAAATTCAAAAATAAACTCAGATTTGACAAAAAAAGTAGAAATATATGTTTAGGTAAAACTGATTCAATTCTATTCATCTCCATAATGAACTATTTATATGTTTACATAGGGTTTTACATGTTTAGCAAGGAAACAAAATAAACTAGGAAACAAAGTCCTAATTGTACAAGAATTAGTCAACTACACTAATTAGGAAATCACTTTCCTGAACCCATGCACACGCCAACACTCCCCCTTAAGTTGGAGCATAAATGTCACCAAGGTCCAACTTGCTCAGCATGTCCTAAAATACTCGGCTTGAAACTGCTTTCGTCAAGATATCTGCCAACTAATCTTCTGACTTTACAAATGGGAACTGAAGCGTCTTGTCTTCTAATCTTTCTTTGATGAAATGCCTATCCACTTCATCATGTTTCGTTCGATCATGTTGAACTGGATTATGAGCAATATTAATGGCCGCAATATTATCGCAATATAATTTCATGGGTTTTTTAGGCTTAAAACCTAACTCCGTTAGAACATGCTTAATCCATAACAACTCACAAACACCATGTGCCATACCTCTATATTCTGCCTCCGCACTTGATCTTGCAACAACATTTTGTTTCTTACTACGCCAAGTAACAAGGTTACCTCCTACAAAAGTAAAGTAACCTGAAGTGGATCGTCTGTCTGTTTGGGACCCAACCCAATCCGCATCTGTATACCCAATTACATCCAGATGTCCTTGCTTTGAATACATTAACCCTTTACCAGGAGTTGATTTCAAATATCTCAAGTTGCGATTCACTGCATCTCTATGAACTTCACTTGGAGAGTGCATAAACTGGCTTACAACACTCACAGCATATGCAATGCCCGGTCTCGTATGTGACAAATAAATTAACCTCCCAACTAGGCGCTGGTATTGCTCCTTGTTAGTTGGTTTATGATCAGTACACTCACCAAGCTTGTGATTTTCCTCCATAGGCTATTAACTGGTTTACACCCCAGCATCCCTGTTTCAGTTAATAAATCCATAACATATTTTCATTGAGACAAGAAGATACCTTGTTGTGATCTAGATACTTCTATCCCAAGAAAATACTTAAGTGTACCAAGATCTTTCATCTCAAACTCCTTAGATAAGTACTCTTGCAATGCTTTTCTTTCGTCAGGATCATCACCAGTTACGATCATATCATCAACATATACTATCAAAGCTGTAATTTTATTTTCCTTATGCTTCAAGAACAAAGTATGATCAAAATTACTTTGTTTATATCCGAATGCCCTCATAGACTTTGTCAACCGCCCAAACCATGCTCTAGGTGACTGCTTCAAACCATACAACGACTTCTTTAATTTGCACACGTAGTGTTTTGATTTGGAACTCAAGTTACATCCAGGCGGAGGATCCATATAAACTTCTTCTTCTAAATCACCATGTAAAAAGGCATTTTTGACATCGAATTGGTGTAATGGCCAATCCAAGTTTGCAGCAAGTGATATCAGGATTCGTACAGTATTGATTTTTGCTACTAGAGCAAACGTCTCCTGATAATCCACTCCATATCTCTGAGTATATCCTTTTGCCACCAATCGAGCTGTGTACCGTTCGATTGATCCATCTGCCTTCAACTTAATAGTATAAATCCATCTACAACCCACAGTTCGTTTGCCACTTGGGAGAGGAACAAGTTTCCATGTGGAATTCTTTTGAAGAGCTTGCATCTCATCACTCATTGCTTGTTTCCAGTTTGGATCCATCAAAGCCTCTTCTACACTGCTTGGTGTAGACAAAGAATCTAGTTGCTCGATCAACATGGCATATGGTGCGGACAATCTATGAGTGGAAACATGGTTGCTAATTAGGTACTTCACTTTAGCTTTGGGATCCGCTTCATATTGAATCTTCGGGATACCACAATTCTTACGAACAGGTAATTGGTATGGTTGTAGATGTATCTCATTAGATGGATCGTCTGAAAACAAATCAGTTAAATATAAATCTTCAACATCAATGTTCTGGGATGTTACTTGGGTTGTAGGTTCAGAAGACACCTCAGAAGATAATTGGTTAAATGGTACAAAAACTTCATAAACGGCATCAATACATCATTCTTCTCCCCCTGACCAGGTGACTGGGTTGTGGGTGAGGAGACCAACCGCGACCAGTCATCAAGACTTTCGTGCATAGTTTCTGGAGTGGTATCTGACGAGTTGGTTAGTGCATCTTGAACTGTTGGATGACATAACGACTCCAAAGTAACGAATCCTTCCAGGTCGAACTGATCATCAACAGTATTTGGACTCGCATGTGCCTAAACTCCCCCAGAAAAATATATTTCTTCTTCTCAAAAAACCACATCCATAGTGATGTAGAGCTTCTGAGTAGGTGGATGATAACAGCGATACCCTTTTTTCTGTTAGGCATAGCCAATAAACACGCACTTGAGTGCTCGAGGCTCCAACTTGTTGCGCTGATGTGTATAAAGGTGAACGAAAGTTACACATCCAAAGACTCGTGGCTCCAAATTGGGAGTGGAATGAAGAGCACAAAACTGACGAAAGGCTTGTAATGGTGTTTGGAAGTTCAAGACACTAGAGGGAACCCGATTAATAAGATACGCAGCAGAAAAAACTGCTTCTCCCCAAAAAGAACGAGGCATTTGAGCATCAAACAATGAAGCTCGAACCACTTCTAACAAATGACAATTTTTGCGTTATGCTACCCCATTTTGCTGAGGGGTATATGGACATGTTCGCTGATGTTCAATTCCATGAGCTTCTAAAAACTGACAAAGATCATGATTCACAAATTCACCCCCATTATCAGAACGAATGATCTTAATTTTTGCATGAAACTGAGTGTCTACCATCTTGTAAAACTGTTGAAATGCGGTACACAACTCCCCCTTGGTTTTTAAGAGAGAAATCCAAGTCATACCCGTGCAATCATCAATAAAGGTAACAAACCAATGAGCACCAGAAGGAGTAGAAATTGGAGCAAGAACCCAAACATCAGAATGAACAATTGCAAACAGCACTGTACTTTTATTCATACTCAAAGGGAAGGAAACTCTATGGCTTTTTGCTAGTTCACAAACATCACACTTAAAATTAAAATATGAAAGTTTACTAAACCATGAAGGAAACAACTTTTTAAGGTATCCAAAGGAGGCATGACCCAACCGTCTATGCCACAACCAAATAAAATTCTGATTTTTCTCGGTCGGATCTCCACTAGTCTTGAAGGCTTGAGAAATCCGAGTCTCACCACTTGGTGCCAAATCCAGAAAATACAGCTTGCCCCTTCTAGTACCATAACCAATTATCTTCCTTGTGAGGATGTCCTGAAAAATACAACAATTTGGCCAAAATGTTACAGTACAAAAAAAAGCATGAGTAATTTGCGCAACAGATAGCAAATTAAAATCCAATGACGGCACAACAAGTACTAAATCCAGGTGCAACGAATCTGTAAGGGATAAAGAACCTTCTCTAACAACAAGAGAGGAACTACTGTTAGCATTGGATACTACCGACTGTGAATATGGAGACAAAGATATGATTTTATTAGAATCACTTGTCATATGATCAGAGGCGCCTGAATCAATAACCCAAACATTACTGGTGGGTGAGGTGGAAGAAACATTCAATGCATAACCGGTTGTACCTGATGTAGCCATGGATGCAGATGCAGAAGTATGTTCATTTGATTTGTTGCCACTTACAGGGGGGTCTCTGGAGTACCAGAGGCTTGGAGTGCCTTATGACCACTTCTTTTATTCTTAGAATGATCTCACCAAGATGGAAAGCCAACTAATTCATAACAATGTTCACGAGTGTGCTTTGAACCACCACAATGAGTGCACTTGAAAACTGGTTTGTCCTTCACCCCCTGGGTCGAGGAACTCCCATAAGATGAAGGTGGTCCCTTGGAACGTTGAGCCACCATGACAGTAGCATCAAGATAGGCGGCAGCACCAATAAAATTGGCGCGTTGTTGTGCATCACGGCAAACATAAGCAAAACTTTGGTCGAGATCCAGTTTAGGTTCCTTGCGGAGGATTTCACTACGGACTTGATCAAATTCGGGATCCAATCCAAAAAGAAAATTATGAACTCGAAGACGGTTGAGTTTTTTCTGGTATGCATCAGTGTCAGCAGCGCACACCATAGATGGGGGGTCACGATGATCCAGTTCCTGAAAAAGACTCTGAAGCATGCTATAATATTTGGAAACAGGTTGGCCATTCTGTTTGAAGGTGAATGCCTTCCTGTTCAATTCGTAAACTTGAGATTCGTCAGAGCCATCATAGAATACTTTCTTGACAGCATCCCAAATCTCCTTGGCAGTGCGAAGACGAATAAAGCGGCCCATCAACTCAGGGGACATAGAATCAATTAACCAACCTTTGACTCGTAGATTTTCAGTTGTCCACGCATCAAAAGTAGGAGCAGATTCGACTGGCATAGCAATAGAGCCAGTAAGATAGCCCAACTTTCCACGGGTAGCAATTCGAATTTCCAGAGTTGAGACCAAAGAGCATAATTGGTCTCATTGAGAATAACTCCTGTAGGCAACGCAAAATTATCATTCTGGATGGTGACAATCTGTGGAACCGACGAAGTTGGAGGTTGTGCAGTGGAGGTCGAAGAACTATGCGGGAGAACAAGGGAAGCCTCGGGTGTTGTCATCGCAATGGAAATTGATGGTGTGGAAGTATGAACTCAATATAGGTTTGAATTCAATTAGAGGGTTTGGGATAAACAAGAAACCACCAGATCGTTGGCTCTGATACCAAGTAGAAATATATGTTTAGGTAAAACTGATTCAATTCTATTCATCTCCATAATGAACTATTTATATGTTTACATAGGGTTTTACAGGTTTAGCAAGGAAACAAAATAAACTAGGAAACAAAGTCCTAATTGTACAAGAATTAGTCAACTACACTAATTAGGAAATCACTTTCCTGAACCCAAGCACACGCCAACAAAAAATACATACCTCCTAATCAATGCAAGCTTCAATTCAAAAACCAGAAGAAATCCAAAACTTTCAACGAATTTCAAACGACCGCACACTAAAAGAACCTGAAATCACACAAAAAATTGAACAGAAAAATCACACTGATTTGCTGTATGAAATTGGAAGAAGAAATGGAAAAGAGAGGAATAGAGCTCGTGAAACGCAAACCAAAAGCTAAATGAATGAAGAGCACGTTTACTTGGATTTGTTTTTAGCTATATTTCAACCTTTTCTCCGACGGCTTTTGACGATTGAATTTCTCGAGTCTACTTTCCATGCTTTGACTACCTTCATCTAGTACAGAAGAAAAGAACAGATACGGCTTTTGACGGATGTTCTTAGGTTCAGTAGATGCTCATGCTTTAAAAGGATAAACCGATCCTTTCACCTAAAAAATTATACCGGCCCAACAAGGCTGACTTGCTGTTTAGCCTTTAAGAGCATTCCTAACCGATGTGCCAAAAGTGCCCTATAGACATTTAATGACTAGAAATAACATACATCACTCCAACCGAATTATCAAAGGTGATCTGAAATGAAGACTGAACTTCCAACCATTACTTTTGACATCCCAAAAATAAGACGTTAAATGAATATTTTATTATTTTTAGAAGATAGTTGGCTGTTACTTTTGACCAAACTTGGCACAATGGCATCAAAGGACTGAATAATACACCTAGTATATGAACTCAACTAAATCTTGTCCCAACCGATTGCGATTATATGACTCGTTTTGCTAAAACAGAGGGAATGGAGCTGCTAAGAGGGCAACAATAGAACCCGATTTGTTGGAAGAGAAGATTATGAAAAATCTGCTCAAAATTCCTTCCTTACTAACTAATCAGGAACCACAAGATTTAAAAGGCACCGTTTTATCTTTTGTTAATTTTTTTTTAAACATGCAATGATTCTCTAAACATTCACATGATCTAAATGTTTTTTTCGTTGTAAATAGGACGATCTGGAATATCTGGGGAAGGTGGTGGCTGGTTCCATTGTGGCTGCAGCTGTTAAGTATGGAAGCATAGGTTTTCCTGAGATAACCAGACCCAACTCCTGTCATTGTAGCCATTTTATTTTTGATCAAGCAGAGCCATGCATGCAGAGGGGCGAAGCTAGGATAGGAAAACCCTCGTGACAAGTTTCACTCACTTTTTCAGCCCTGTATTTCACCAATTTTGTGGAGCTGCTACAAGAATTCCAATGATTTCATCCACATCCATTTGAAAGCACTTCCTGTAACATCCATTTGGTCTACTTGAAAGAAAATTCAACTGCCATGCAAAAATCTTCAGCTGCTGAGATAAGAAAATCCCATATTACATGAAAATCATATATAAAAGCCAGTGCATTAGTGTAGCCAGTTGACCATGAGCAATGTGTCAGTCCTTTTGTGCTCAAGTTAGATTCCTCTCGTCATAGATTAGAGTAGTTTAGACTATCAAGAGTTTATGATTGAATTATTGGTTATACTGTACATATTATCTGATATTTCAAATCAGAGTGATATATATAACATCACAAAGATTATAATATAATATAACATCTCAATAGAGTTGATGATTGAATTATTGGGTATAATGTACATATTATCTGATATTTCAAATTAGAGTGATATATAACAACATCTCAACAGAGTTCATGATTGAATTATTGGCTATACATACATATTGGATATTATAATTATTTTCCCTACTTTGCAATGTACGCTCTTCCAACAAGATTATCTTCAAAGTGTGAACTCATATGAGACTTCTCTCTTTGCATGCCAGAAAATACCTTCAGGTGCTGACATAAGAAAATTAAAACCTTCTTCAACTTCAATAATTGTAGATAGAATAGATATAATTTATGCACAACATTCATCGTATAAGCAGTAGAGTACGTACCTGGAATTTGGAAATGGGGGTCGTCATCACAGATCTATGCCTGGCCAGGTAGGGCCAGTCCTAGCCCGAGACAATTTTTGAGAAATTTTTTAATACCTACATAACCCAAAGAATTTCAACCCATTAAAAATTTATATATATATATATATATATATATATCCTCTTAAAAAATATTTGCAAAATATAAAAATAAAAAATAAAAACATTCTCCAACGACTTTATATTTATCTTTACTTTACCCTCACTACATGTGAGTTTTTTTTAGAGTACTGCTATTTCCATACACCTGTCCTATTTTCCCACCCACCTTATTTTCAAAATTTCAAAGACAAATTTATCCCTTTGTAAAATGATTTATAAGAACTTATAGTAAAAAGGATATTTTAGAAATAATTAAAGTGTAGGGTAAATTTAATTTTTTATTATCTCTTAATCACTAAACAATTACCCATATATTTTTTTTCTATGTCCGACCCTCCGTCTTCCTCCTCCTCCCCTCACCCTTCTCTTCTCCTTGGAAATTCATTATATCTGCAATTCTCATTGGCGCCGCAAATCACATCAATACATTCATCATTCTCTCTCTACATCAATTCAAGTACTGCTGGATAATTCAAAAGGCTAATCCTATAGAAACCTTATATCCTCTTGAGACCATCTAAAAAATCCAACTAAACTCTTCCTGCAAATATGAAAAAATCTTTTCTTTCATCGTCACAACAAATATCTCAATAACTTTCCTAGTTGAAGTCTTAAAACAAATCAGTTCATGATAGGTTTTATAATTATTAGTTATTGTATTCCAAACACCCAGAACAATATAATTATCTAAATCAATTGTCTTCATATATAGATCTAGAAAATATAGAACACGAGTGAGGCATGAATCATGATGCAGCGGCAGTGAGAAATCCGATACAACTGCTATGGTGAAGAGGGGGAATGAGTCAGCGAGATGGGTTTAGAGGTGCCGGTGAGAAATCTGGCAATAATGGAAATTTTGTGGGAGGAGGAAGAAGAAAGAGGGAGATGGAAAGACTTTTTGGTAATTATTGCTTTAATTAGGATATAATAATAATAATAATTAAAAAAGACTTAACTGTATTAGATGAGTTGGCATACCACATAAGGTGGTTTATAAAGGGTATTTTAGGAATAATGGTGGGTGGAAAGATAGGATTGTCTTTTGTCAAATTTACATGGTGTGTAAGAAGATAAGGTGGGTGGGGAAATAGTACCGAGGGTGGAAATAGCAGCATTCTTGTTTTATTATCAGTTTGGTATTTGAGTAAATAGACATGGAGTTTCCCAAAGAAAAAACAAACATAAAGAAAAGAAGAAAATTTGTGATGATAAATGAATAATATAGATAGACATTAACAAAATGAAATCTTAATAGACATTACCAGAAGAAGATGTGGAAGCAGCACTTGGCGTCTCATCATCATCAGCTTGGTAAACTCCGTCTTTTTGTACAAATTCGAAACCAACTTTGATGTTTGGGATGTGAGAAATCTTGGGCCACTCTCCTCTGCCTTTTCGGCAACCTTGTGCAAGTGTTGGAGAGCAGTTGTAACCATCGATGACAAGCTCCTTGAGATGATGTGTATTTCGTAAGAAGTTGGGCAGCGTTCTTAGTACTCCGCAATTATAAATTTGTAAGGAAGAAAGGCAGGGCATTATTGTAATTGTCTTCTGAGAATCCTCTTCTTCACTCCACCCTGTCATTCCTTCCCACTCTTCCCACATGGGCATACTATAGAATTGAAGTGTTTTCAAACTTGGGAATAAAATAAGTGGTGATGAGGATGTTTGCGTTTCTATTGTTCCATCTATTCCCAAAAACTCAACTCCTACCTTTTTCACCCTGGACCAACTGACGATGTAGAATACTTCAAGGGACTCCAATCTCCCCAAAGGAGGCACAAACTCAACAAAGTTGCAATATTGAAGGGTAAGGCTTCTCAATTTGTTTAACGACGTCATCCAATGGGGCCGGAGTGTGGTGCCACTGTAGTGATAGATAGAGAAGGATTCCAGATTTGGAGGTGGTTGTAAGGCATTCAGTGTTTCTTCCTGGCTTGCCACAAGAGGAATCTCATCTGTTCCACCAAAGAAGAAGCGCAATTCCAGACTGACAAGGCAATTTTTGTTCACCAAATGCGCTTGCTCGGCCTGCCTCGCGTCCTTGAGATCCTCCAGAAATTCTATTTGGAAACTCCCACGAAGCTGGTCCATGTTTCCCAAATCACTTAACTCGAATAATGCTTCTTTGTTGTTATCAACGTCATCATTGCCACGGATGTAAACTTCATCTAGCGTTTGTAGACTTGTTAACCTTGCAATCCCCTTGGGCAACTTTAGACTACGACACCACCGAACATGAAGATGCTGCAAGTTAATCAGCTTTCCCATGCCTTCAGGTAATCTTTCAAGATTAGTGCACCTAATGAGTCTCAGGGTTTGCAAATTGATTAAATTACACACGGTATCTGGCAATTTCATCAAATCATCATTATCAGACAAATCAAGATACCTCAAATGTATCAATTCTCCAATCTCATTTGGAACTTCTTTCAAGGAGTTACGCCTCAGATTCAACGTTCTAAGGCATTTTACTTGTGAAATTAACTCTTGACCAAAACTAGTAATCTTTGAATCAAAAGTTGCAAGAGTCCGTAAATTCTTGCAGATGCACAAGGAACTCGAAATTAGTGGACCTTCGGGCGCAAACATTAATGTCAAATGACGAACCTTCTTATATCCATCAAACTCCATTATTCTCTTATTATTACCACCCTCAGCTTCCAAAACTAAGCATTCATTCTTAGTTAGAAATTGTAGAAAGTCATGCACAACATCATGCATCTTGCACCCTGTTATATTTCCAAGTTCATCTTCCTCAAATTCTTGAAAGAAAGAGCGCGTTACTAAGTTATTAAAGTATATTTCGCCTACCGCTTCTTTTTCTTTGTTTTCAATTGAATTAAGATAATTTTGTGACATCCACAATTCAATCAACTCATCTTTAGCAATCTCATAATCTTTTGGGAAAATAACGCAATACAAAAGACAACGTTTGATTGCCGGGGCCAAATCATAATAACTTAGTAACAATGGTTGGAAAACTTGTTCCTCAACCACATCTAACTTCCATATCTTACTATTCAAAACATCTTCCCATTCTTTCTTCGTTTTCTTATAGCGCATGAGACCACCCATTGTCTTTGCAAGAAGGGGCAGGCCCTTACACTTTTTGACAATTTCTTTACCAATAAATTCTAACACTTTAGACTCATTTTTTTCTCTATCAGCCAGTGCAATGTGATAGAACAATGCCCAACAATTTTCTTCACTCAACACCTCCAAATTGACCATATGATGTGCTCCCACCATCCTCGCAACTTCCTCTTTTCGTGTGGTCACCAATATTCTACTACCCACAGCCCCATTTTGTAAAGGTAGCTTTAATTGTTCCCACTTTCCATAGTCTTGGTTCCACACATCATCTAGGACAAGAAGGAACTTCTTGCCCTTAACAGACTCATGTATAATGGACTTTAGAGTTTGCAACTCATTTGATGTTGGGGTCTCTTTTGTCAAACCCTCAATGATGGCCTTGGCAATTTTGATCTCATCAAAAGGATCTGAGACACAAACCCATATTCTACTGTTGAAATGAGCTTGAACCTTTTCATCATTATAGGCAAGTTGGGCAAGAGTTGTCTTGCCAATTCCTCCCATCCCTATAATAGGGATGACAAGGCAGGTCTCCCCTCCTTGACCATTGCCACTCACCAACTTTTCTACTACTTTGTCCTTTTCGTCGACTCGACCAAATGTCTTATCAACGAAAGAAGAACTTTTTTGTCGTTCAATTTGTTCAATTCCTCTTTTCGCGGATTGAAAGTCATACTTTTGTCTTTCACTAGCAATCAGAGCTAATCTTTCATTTAGTTCTTTTATCTTCACAGCAATGTCATGACAAAGAACTACTTGACGGCCAAAACAAAACCAAGGGGCAGGAATGCAGAAACATACCTTCTTGATAGTACTAGTACTACCAGCATTACCAGCTTCTTGTTTCTGAATATGATGCTTCAGGATTTCAGTACTCCACTTGTCCAACACGTCGTCCATCTCATAGGATACATCCTTCAACCTCTCCAGCCATTGTCTCACGTCCACCTCCTTCACCTGCCTCTCCTCCGCATTCTCGAGCACAACTTCAATATCTTTGAAATTGCTG